ACCCCCCCCACAAGCGCACCACCACTGCAGACCCTCAGGAGTGACCCCCCCCAGCACACCCCACGGCAGCCCCCCAAGGATCACCCCCCCCCCCAGCACACCCCACGGCAGCCCCCCCAAGGATCACCCCCCCCCCCAGCACACCCACGGCAGCCCCCCAAGGATCACCCCCCCCCCAGCACACCCCATGGCAGCCCCCCAAGGATCACCCCCCCCCCCAGCGCACCCCACCGCAGCCCCTCAAGGATGCCCCCCCCCTCTCCCCGTGCGTCCTGCTGCAGCACCGCAGGGTGGACCCCCCCCCCCACTCCCCTCCAGCAGACCCCCCAGTCACCCCCCTCCCCTGCAGCCCTTACTACAGTGACCCCCCTCCCCACCCCCCCCCCGCCCCCCAGGGCCCTCGTGGGAGTGGGCAAACCTCCCTCACCCCACCGGGGCTCCCCCCCCTGACCCCGCTGTGCCCCACAGGAGCAGAAGGACCAGCTGGTGGATTACGGGGGGCACCTGGGGGGGCTGGCCCGCCGCGCCAAGGCCATCGTCCAGCTGAAGCCCCGCAGCCCCGGCACCCCCCTCCAGGGCCGCCCGCCCATCCAGGCCGTCTGCGACTACAAGCAAATGGAGGTACTGGGGGGGACAGGACACCCCCACCCCCCCCCGCACCCCGGGACGTGCGGGGGACCCCCGCCCCGCTCTCACGCCGCCCCCCCCCCCTCCCCGCAGATCACGGTGCACAAGAACGACGAGTGCGCCCTGCTCAGCAACGCCCAGCCCCACAAGTGGCGGGTGCTGAGCGCCGCGGGCGCCGAGGCCGTCGTCCCCTCCGTCTGCTTCCTCGTGCCCCCCCCCCAACAAGGAGGCGCTGGACGCCGTGCAGAGGTGAGTGCCGGGGGAACCCCCCCACCTCCGCCACGCTGGGGTGTGGGGTGTCCCGTCCCCGTCCCCCCCCCCGGCTCACACCCCCTCTCCCCAGGCTGGAGGCCGCCCACCAGCAGCTCCTCGCGCTCTGGCACCAGTTGCACCTGGACATGAGGAGCCTCCTGTCCTGGCAGTACCTGATGCGCGACATCCAGCAGATCCAGTCCTGGTCCCACCTGACGGTGAGTCCCCCCCCCCGGCCCCCCAGCCCCGTGCCAAGGGGGGTCCCCCCCCGGGGGTCTCGCAGCAGCTCACCGCGCCCCTGTCCCCCCGCCCCCGGCTTCTCCCAGTTCCGCACGCTGCAGGTGGAGGAGTGCCGGCAGGTCCTGCGCAGCCTGGAGACCCACTACCAGGAGTTCCTGCGGGACAGCCAGGACTCGCAGAGCTTCCAGCCCGACGACCGCCTGCACGTGGAGCGCGAGTACAACGCCTGCACCCAGAAATACGAGCTGCTGCTGCGCACCCAGGAGAAAGGTGAGCCCCCCCCTCCTCCCCGCCGCCGGCCGCCCGCCGCGGCCCCGGGGGCGGAGGGGGGCTGACAGCGCCGGCGTCCCCCCCAGGAGAGCAGGACGAGTCCCTGTGCAAGACCTACATCTCCCAGCTGAAGGACATCCGCCTGCAGCTGGAGAGCTGCGAGACCCGCACCATCCACAAGATCCGCCTGCCCCTCGACAAGGACCCGCTCAGGGAGTGCGCCCAGCGCATCGCCGAGCAGCAGGTGCGGGCCGGTGGGCTGCAGACCCCTTCCCCGTCTCCGCGGGGGTCGGGGAGGGGGGGAGGAGCTGGTGCCGGGTCCCGGCTGGTGGCGTTCGGCGGGGTGGTAGGTGGGGGATCAGCCCCGCGGGCACGGCTCGGCCCCGAGCCGCAGCGCCGGGCAGGCAGTGAGGGACCCTCCTCCTCTCGCCGCAGCAAATCCACCTGGAGCTGGAGGGCATCAGGAAGAACCTGGACAAGGTGAGCGAGAAGACGGAGAAGGTGCTGGCGCAGCCAGAGCAGGCCAGCTCGGCCCCCGTCCTGCGCTCGGAGCTGGAGGTCACCCTGCAGAAGATGGAGCAGGCGTACAGCCTCTCCAGCATCTACCTGGAGAAGTGAGTGCCCAGCCCCTGCGCGGCTCCTCGGTCGTCCCGGCCCCAGGGGGAGCCGCGGGGGGAGCCTCCCCCGGCCGGAGGAAGGTCCTTGCCTCCCGACTGCCGCCCGGCGCCGGCTGAGCCCGTCCCCTCTCTCTGCAGGCTGAAGACCATCAACCTGGTGATCCGCAGCACTCAGGGCGCGGAGGAGCTGGTCAAGAAGTACGAGGACCAGCTGAAGGATGTGCAGACCGTGCCGGCTGACCTCAAGGAGCTGGAGGCCAGCAAGGCCGAGCTGAAGGTAAGGGCTGGGGCAGCAGCGTGCCGGGGGGGGGGCCGGGGGGGGGGTCAGGGCCGGGGCTGAGCCGTGCTCCGTCTGCCGCAGCGGCTGCGGGCGCAGGCGGAGGGGCACCAGCCCTTCTTCAGCACGCTGGAGACCGACCTGAGCAAAGCCAAGGACGTCAACGAGCGGATGGTCAGGGGCCACAGCGAGCGCGACGTGGACCTGGACCGGTACCGGGAGAGGGTCCAGCAGCTCCTGGAGCGCTGGCAAGCCGTGCTGAGCCAGGCCGACCTGCGCCAGCGCGAGCTGGACCAGCTGGGCCGCCAGCTGCGGTACTACCGCGAGAGCTGCGACGGGCTGCTCCGCTGGATCCAGGACGCGAAGCAGCGGCAGGAGCGAATCCAGGCGGTGCCCATCACCGACAGCAAGGCCGTGCGGGAGCAGCTGCTGCAGGAGAAGGTAGCGCCCGCCGTGGGGTCCCCGGCCGCGGTGGGGTGGCCGCCGTGGGGTGCCCGAGCTCACCCCGGCTCGTTTCCCCAGGAACTCCTGGAGGAGTGCGACCGCAACAAGGAGAAGGTGGAGGAGTGCCAGCGCTACGCCAAGCAGTACATCGATGCCATCAAGGTGCGCCCGCCGGCCGTGCCGGGGCTGGGGGGGGGCTGGAGGGGGGGGGGGCGCTGGCTGGGGATGCTGGGCGGCGTGCTGAGGACCCCTCTCCCCGGCAGGATTACGAGCTGCAGCTGGTGAGCTTCAAGGCGCAGGTGGAGCCGATGGCCTCCCCAGCCAAGAAGCCCAAAGTGCAGTCTGCGTCCGACAGCATCATCCAGGAGGTGAGGGAGGGGGTCCCTCGGGGGGCCCCAAGGGTCCGGGGGGGGCAGCTCCTTCCCCAGGAGCCGAGGGCTGCAGCCCTTTGCCGGAGAAGGGGCGGGGGGGGGTGTCGCCTCCGTCCAGCCCTGCCGGTGCCGGGGTGCTGGGTGCTGGGTGGGGGGTACCGCGGGCATCCCCCCCCCCCCAGCTCCCCGCTGACCTCGGCCGTCTGCCGCAGTACGTGGACTTGCGGACGCGGTACAGCGAGCTGACCACGCTGACCAGCCAGTACATCAAGTTCATCACGGAGACGCTGCGGCGGCTGGAGGAGGAGGAGGTAGGGGAGCGTGGCGCGGGCGCCCGGGGCGGCACGGCTCCGGCCGCGTTCTCCCTCCCGTGTAACACCGCGGCCCCCCCCTCACTAACGCTGCCCCGCGGCCCCCAACCCCGCTCCGGTCGGGGCTCCCGGGCCCGCAGCGGCCGGCTCTGGGTGCAGCGGGGCTCCGAGCCCAGAGGGCGGCTCCGGGCGCCGCCGGGCTCTGGCGTGACTGGTGGTAGGAGGCACTTCCCAGATACACGTAGCGCGGTCAGCAGCTGCCTGCCGCATGGCCGCTGTGCTCGGGCGCCGCGGGGCCGGGGCCCCCGGGTGGTCTGTCTCGGTAACCTTTCTAACTCTTGGTTTCTGCCCTTGGAAGTCGAGCCGCTTTGCCAGTGCTTTGTCTTGGGGGATGTTTGTGTTGGTGGGGATCTAATGGAGGGTAAAAAACCAGGATGACTCTGGCACCCCTGCACCAGGTACTCACTCTGCGCATGCGCCCCCGCTCCCCACGGCGCACACCTCATCCCCCCCCCCCCCCCCGCCTCACCCCATGGCCGCCAGCAGCCCGCACGCCCCTCCTGCTCGCTGCACCCCTTCCCTCCAGAGCGCTGCTCACCCCCGCGCTCCTCACCCTCCTCTGCCTCTTCATCCCGGCGCCCTCCCCGCGGCGGGAGGGGACCCGGCCCCACGGCGCTGGTGGTGGTGGTGGTGGGGGGGGGGTCCGGCTCGCCCGCATGCCCCCAGCCCGTGCCCGCACCCCACACCGGGGCGTGCGCCTGCCTGGCTCGCGGCACACGCGGCACGAGCGCCCCGCGGCACGGCCCCGAGCCACGCGCCAGCCGCCTCGGCCCCTCGGCAGGCGGGAGCGGGGCTCGGGCCGGCCGGGGCAGCACGGGCCGGAGCTCGGGCTGCTCTCTCCGCGTCCTCGAGGCTTTCCCGGCAGGGAAGGCTCCGCTGGCTGCTCCCCCCCGCCCCGCTCGCCCCGGTGCTCCGGCTGGGTCTCCGGTTTGCCCAAGGCGACGGTTCTCCGCGCCCCCCGGCCCCTCTCGCACAGGGGTGCCCGTGGGGGGCGGCTGCCCTCGGCGGGGGGCCGGGGCAGCGGGCGCGGTGGTGGCACGCGAGCTGCTCGCACCCGTCTCCATCGCTTCGGGCTTTGCTCGCGCTCCATCCCTCCCCCGCGGTCCGTGGGCCGCCCTGCTTCCCGCGCTGCTGTCTCGCTCCTGTCGCCCGCCCGCCTGCGCCGTGCCGAGCGAGACGCGGTAGCCGCGTGTCCCCTCTCTGCCGTACGTCTCCTGGAAGCTGGCGTCACCGCCTCCAGCTCGCGGGGAGGCCCAGGGACCCGGAGCCATTCCACGCGCATCCTCCACCCCGGACCGTCCCGTCCCGTCCCGTCTCTCGGTGGTGCGTGGCTGTGGCCGGCGTCGACGCCGCGGCTCGGTTGCATCCCTTGTGATTTCTCTCTCTCCCCCCTCTCTGTTTTCTCTGCACCCTCTTTCCCCTCCAGAAAGCCGCCGAGAAGCTGAAGGAGGAGGAGAGGAAGCGGCTGGCGGAGGTGGAGGCCCAGCTGGAGAAGCAGCGGCAGCTGGCCGAGGCCCACGCCAAAGCCAAGGCGCAGGCGGAGGCGGAGGCGCGGGAGCTGCAGCTCCGCATGCAGGAGGAGGTCACCCGGCGGGAGGTGGTGGCCGTGGACGCCGAGCAGCAGAAGCAGAACATCCAGCAGGAGCTGCTGCAGCTGCGGCAGAACTCCGACCACCAGATCAAGTCCAAGGTCAAGCTGATCGAGGAGGCCGAGCACAACCGCAGGAAGGTGGAGGAGGAGATCCGCCTGATCCGCCTCCAGCTGGAGAGCACCGAGAGGCAGCGGGAGGGCGCCGAGGCGGAGCTGCGGGAGCTGCGGGCGCGCGCCGAGGACGCCGAGCGGCAGAAGCGGCAGGCGCAGGAGGAGGCCGAGCGGCTGCGCCGGCAGGTGAAGGAGGAGAGCCAGAAGAAGCGGGAGGCGGAGGAGGAGCTGAAGCGCAAGGTGCAGGCGGAGCGGGAGGCGGCGCGGGAGAGGCAGAAGGCGGTGGCCGACCTGGAGGAGCTGCGGCTGCAGGCGGAGGAGGCCGAGCGGCGGATGCGGCAGGCGGAGGCCGAGAAGGAGCGGCAGATCCAGGTGGCCCAGGAGGTGGCCCAGCGCAGCGCCGAGGCCGAGCTGCAGAGCAAGCGGCTGTCCTTCGCCGAGAAGACGGCGCAGCTGGAGCTGTCGCTGCGGCAGGAGCACATCGCCGTGGCCCAGCTGCAGGAGGAGGCGGAGCGGCTGAAGAAGCAGCAGCTGGAGGCCGAGCGGTCGCGGGAGGAGGCCGAGAAGGAGCTGGAGCGCTGGCGGCAGAAGGCCAACGAGGCGCTGCGGCTGCGGCTGCAGGCCGAGGAGGTGGCCCACAAGAAGGCGCTGGCGCAGGAGGAGGCGGAGAGGCAGAAGGAGGACGCGGAGCGGGAGGCCCGCAAGCGCGCCAAGGCGGAGGAGTCGGCGCTGCGGCAGAAGGAGCTGGCGGAGGAGGAGCTGGAGAGGCAGCGGGAGCTGGCGGAGGGCACGGCGCAGCAGAAGCTGGCGGCGGAGCAGGAGCTGATCCGGCTGAAGGCGGAGATGGAGAACGGGGAGCAGCAGCGCCTGCTCCTGGAGGAGGAGCTCTTCCGGCTGAAGAAGGAGGTGAGCGAGGCCATCCAGAAGAGGAAGGAGGTGGAGGAGGAGCTGGCCAAGCTGCGGGCCGAGATGGAGGTGCTGCTGGAGAGCAAGGCCAAGACGGAGGAGGAGTCGCGCTCCAGCAGCGAGAAGTCCAAGCAGCGGCTGGAGGCCGAGGCCAGCAAGCTGCGGGAGCTGGCCGAGGAGGCGGCCCGGCTGCGGGCGCTCTCCGAGGAGGCCAAGCGGCAGCGGCAGCTGGCGGAGGACGAGGCCGGCCGGCAGCGGGCCGAGGCCGAGCGCATCCTGAAGGAGAAGCTGGCGGCCATCAACGAGGCCTCGCGGCTGAAGGCGGAGGCGGAGATCGCCCTGAAGGAGAAGGAGGCGGAGAACGAGCGGCTGCGGCGGCTGGCGGAGGACGAGGCGTACCAGCGCAAGCTGCTGGAGGAGCAGGCCGCCCAGCACAAGCAGGACATCGAGGAGAAGATCGCCCTGCTGAAGCGCTCCTCCGAGAGCGAGCTGGAGCGGCAGAAGGGGCTGGTGGAGGACACGCTGCGGCAGCGGCGGCAGGTGGAGGAGGAGATCCGCGCCCTCAAGGCCAGCTTCGAGAGGGCCTCGGCGGGCAAGGCCGACCTGGAGCGGGAGCTGAGCCGCATCCGCGGCGAGGCGGAGGAGGTGCAGCGCAGCCGGGAGCAAGCCGAGCGGGAGGCCGAGCGGCAGCGGGCGCTGGCGCTGGAGGAGGAGGGCCGGCGGCGGGAGGCGGAGGAGAAGGTGCAGGCCATCCTGGCGGCCGAGGAGGAGGCCGGGCGGCAGCGGCGGCTGGCGCTGGAGGAGGTGGAGAGGCTGAAGGCCATGGTGGAGGAGGCCAGGCGGCAGAAGGAGCTGGCGGAGCGCGAGTCGGAGCGGCAGATCCAGCTGGCGCGGGAGGCGGCGCAGAAGCGGCTGGCGGCGGAGGAGAAGGCGCACCTGGCCGCCGTGCAGCAGAAGGAGCAGGAGCTGCTGCAGACGCGGCAGCAGGAGCAGAGCCTCCTGGACCGGCTGCGGGAGGAGGCCGAGCGCGCCCGGCGGGCGGCCGAGGAGGCCGAGTTCGCCCGCAGCAAGGCCGAGCAGGACGCCGGCCTCTCCCGGCAGCGGGTGGAGGAGGCCGAGCGGCTGAAGCAGCGGGCGGAGGAGGAGGCGCAGGCCAAGGCGCGGGCGCAGGCGGACGCGGAGCAGCTGCGGAAGGAGGCCGAGCTGGAGGCGGCGAAGCGGGCGCAGGCGGAGCAGGCGGCCCTGCGGCAGAAGCAGCTGGCCGACGCCGAGATGGAGAAGCACAAGAAGTTCGCCGAGCAGACGCTGCGGCAGAAGGCGCAGGTGGAGAAGGAGCTGACCAAGGTGAAGCTGCGGCTGGAGGAGACGGACCACCAGAAGGGCATTCTGGACGAGGAGCTGCAGCGGCTGAAGGAGGAGGTGACCGATGCCGTCCGGCAGAAGGCCCAGGTGGAGGAGGAGCTCTTCAAGGTCCGGGTGCAGATGGAGGAGCTGGCGAAGCTGAAGAGCCGGATCGAGGAGGAGAACAAGGCGCTGATCCTCAAGGACAAGGACAACACGCAGAAGTTCCTGGCGGAGGAGGCCGAGAAGATGAAGCAGGTGGCGGAGGAGGTCGCCCGGCTCAGCGTGGAGGCCCAGGAGGCCGCCCGCATGCGGCAGCTGGCCGAGGACGACCTGGCGCAGCAGCGGGCGCTGGCGGAGAAGATGCTCAAGGAGAAGATGCAGGCGGTGCAGGAGGCCACGCGGCTGAAGGCCGAGGCGGAGGTGCTGCAGAAGCAGAAGGACCTGGCGCAGGAGCACGCCAAGCGGCTGCAGGAGGACAAGGAGCAGATGCAGCAGCGCCTGGCCGAGGAGACCGAGGGTTTCCAGAAGACCCTGGAGGCTGAGCGCCGGCGGCAGCTGGAGATCACCGCCGAGGCCGAGCGCCTCAAGCTGCACGTGGCGGAGATGAGCACGGCCCAGGCCAAGGCCGAGGAGGAAGCCAAGCGCTTCAAGAAGCAGGCGGAGGAGATCAGCGAAAGGCTGCACGAGACCGAGCTGGCCACGCAGGAGAAGATGACGCTGGTGCACGCTCTGGAGATCCAGCGGCACCAGAGCGACCAGGACGCGGAGAAGCTGCGGAGGGCCATCGCCGAGCTGGAGCGGGAGAAGGAGAAGCTGAAGCAGGAGGCGGCGTTGCTGCAGCAGAAGGCAGAGGAGGTACTGGGCTGCGGGTCCCCCTTAGCGCTGGTGGCATGCAGGGAGGAGTTCACCTCTCCCCAGCCGCCCCGCGCCCTGCCCCCGGACAGGGGACCGGCCCGTCCCCGAGGACCAGCCGCCGCGGCGCGGGTGCGGAGCCTCGGGGCGTGAGCGCGGCGGCCGGCCCCGGGTCCTGCTCCGACACCTCTCCCGGAGGGCTTTGCCGCGCCGCACCCCGTGCTGGCTGTGGAGGGGCGATCCCCACCACCCGCACCAGCTCTTTGTTCCCCACGGCGCGGCCGGCCTTAGTCCCCGCCCCGCAGGCAAGAGCCGTGCCCAGCTCCCGGCCCCGGGGAGTCCCTGGCCCCCCCCCGGCCCAAGAGCTCGTGTCCTTTCCCTGCTCGCTCCGCCCCCGCGCTGCTCGCTGCGGCTGCCTAACCTCCGCTCTGCTCCCTGAGCTCCTAACCGCCGCCGCGGAGCGGCCGGGTGTCTCTGCACCCCTGCCAGCCCCGTGCCACCCTTCCCGCCCGCCCTCCTGCCCCCGCCGCCCCGGGCCGAGGGTGCTGTCTGACCGTGCTGTCCTCTCCCCCGCCCCAGATGCAGGTGGCCCAGCAGGCGCAGCTCCGCCAGGAGACGCAGCTCCTCCAGCAGACCTTCCTGACGGAGAAGGACGCCCTGCTGCAGAAGGAGAAGTTCATCGAGGAGGAGAAAACGAAGCTGGAGAAGCTCTTTAAAGACGAGGTGGACAAAGCCCAGAACCTGAAGGCGGAGCAGGAGCGGCAGCAGAAGGAGATGGAGCAGGAGAAGCAGCAGTTGAAAGCCATGCTGGACGAAGCCCAGAAGCACCAGAAGGAAGCGGAGGAAAACGTCCGGCACAAGCAGGAGGAGCTGCAGCAGCTGGAGAGGCAGCGGCAGCAGCAGGAGAGACTCCTGGAAGAGGAGAACAAGAAGCTCAGGGAGAGGCTCGAGCAGATGCAGGAGGAGTACAAGGCCGCCCTGGCCCAGACACGAGAGATCATGATCCAGACGGACGAGCTGCCCGAGGAGGCCGTGGTTACGACGGCGCAGCTGCCGGATATCAAAGCTGTGCCCAACGGCAGAGAAGTGGTGGACGGCTTAGCGCAGAACGGGGAGCCAGAGCTCGCGTTCGACGGCATCCGCCGGAAGGTGCCTGCGGAGAAGCTGGCTGCTGCCGGCATTCTGAGCCAGGAGAACCTAGACAAGCTGGCGCAGGGCGTCGTGAGCGTTGGCGAGCTCTCGCAGAGGGAGGACATCAGGAAGTACCTGCAGGGCAAGAGCAGCATCGCCGGTTTGTTAATCAAACCCACCGATCAGAAGATGAGCATCTACGAAGCCATGAAGAAGAAGCTGCTCAGCCCGGGCACCGCGCTGGTCCTCCTGGAAGCGCAGGCTGCCTCCGGCTTCATAATTGACCCCGTGCGAAACGCGAGGCTCTCGGTGAACGAGGCGGTGAGAGAGGGCGTGATTGGGCCAGAGCTGCACAACAAGCTGCTGTCGGCTGAACGGGCGGTGACCGGCTACAAGGACCCTTACACCGGCGACACCATCTCCCTCTTCCAGGCCATGAAGAAGGGGCTCATCGTCAGGGAGCACGGCGTCCGCCTGCTCGAGGCCCAGATCGCCACCGGCGGCATCATCGACCCCGTGCACAGCCACCGCCTGCCCGTGGAGGTGGCCTACCGGCGCGGCTACTTCGACGAGGAGATGAACCAGGTCCTCTCCGACCCCACCGACGACACCAAGGGCTTCTTCGACCCCAACACGCACGAGAACCTCACCTACCTGCAGCTGATGGAGCGGTGCGTGACTGACCCGGACACGGGGCTGTGCCTCCTCCCGCTCACTGACCAGGCAGACAAAGCGAGGGAGCTGGTCTACACTGACAAAGAAGCTAAGGATGTCTTTAAGAAGGCCACGGTGACGGCACCGTTTGGCAAGTTCCAAGGGAAGACGGTGACCATCTGGGAGATCATCAATTCCGAATACTTCACTGAGGACCAAAGGCGGGACTTGATCCAGCAGTACAGGACTGGCAAGATCACAGTGGAGAAGATCATTAAGATCATCATCACGGTTGTGGAGGAAAGCGAGAAAAAGAGCCAGATGTGCTTCGAGGGCCTCCGGGCTCCTGTGCCTGCCGCTGAGCTGCTGGAGAGCAAAATCATCAACAAGGACCTCTACAACCAGCTGCACCAGGGCAAGAGGTCTGTGAAGGACGTAGCCGAGATGGAGTCCGTGCGGCCGTACCTGAAGGGCACGGGCGCCATTGCCGGCGTCCTGGTAGAGTCGACTGGCCAGAAGCTCACCTTCTACGACGCCCTGAAGAGAAACCTCCTGAGGCCGGAGATCGCCCTGTCCCTGCTGGAAGCGCAGGCTGCCACCGGCTACATCGTCGACCCCGTGAGGAACAAGCTGTTCTCCGTCGACGAGGCGGTGAAGGCCGAGGTGGTGGGGCCGGAGTTCCACGAGAAGCTGCTGTCCGCAGAGAAGGCGGTGACCGGCTACAAGGACCCCTATACGGGCCAGACGGTCTCCCTCTTCCAGGCGCTGAAGAAGGGGCTCATCCCCAGCGATACCGGGGTCCGTCTGCTGGACGTCCAGCTCGCCACTGGAGGCGTCATCGACCCGGTGAACAGCCACCGGCTGCCCCTCGAGGTCGCCTACAAGCGGGGCTACTTGAACCCAGAGATGATGGAGGCTCTGTCCGAGCTCCGAGATGACGCCAAGGCTTTCTATTGCCCCAACACCCAAGAGCACCTCACCTACGCCCAGCTGCAGAAGAACTGCCACCGCGACAAGCAGAGCGGCTTCTGCCTGCTGCCCCTGTCAGACGAAGCCATCCAGTCGCAGCAGGAGGAGGTCTACACGGACAGCCAGGCGAAGGAGTGCTTCGACAAGGCGACCGTCGAGGTCCCGGCGGGCAGCATGAAGGGCCGGACAATGACCGTCTGGGAGCTGATCCACTCCGAGTACTTCACGGAGGAGCACAGGCGGGAGCTCCTCCGGCAGTACAAGACCGGCAAGGTGACCATCGAGAAGATCATCAAGATCGTGATCACCATCATCGAGGAGGCGGAGACCAGAAAGCAGGAGAAGCTGACGTTCAGCGGTCTCCGGGCGCCCGTACCCGCCAGTGAGCTGGTGGAGTCCCGCGTCATCAGCAAAGCCCAGTACGAGCAGCTGAAGGAAGGCAAGAAGTCGGTGAAGGACCTCTCTGAGACGGACGCGGTGAGGAGGTTCCTGCAGGGCAGCGACTGCATCGCTGGCGTCTACGTGGAGGCGACCAAGGAGAAGCTGAACATCTACGAGGCCATGAAGAGGAACCTGCTGAGGCCCAGCACTGCCGTGGTCCTCCTGGAGGCCCAGGCAGCGACCGGGTTCTTGATCGACGCTGTGAAGAACCGGAAGCTGTATGTCAACGAGGCCGTGAAGGCCGGCGTCGTTGGGCCAGAGCTGCACGAGAAGCTGCTCTCCGCCGAGAAGGCTGTCACTGGGTACAAGGACCCCTACTCGGGCAACACCATCTCCCTCTTCCAGGCCATGAAGAAGGGGCTCATCGTCAGGGAGCACGGCGTCCGCCTGCTCGAGGCCCAGATCGCCACCGGCGGCATCATCGACCCCGTGCACAGCCACCGCCTGCCCGTGGAGGTGGCCTACCGGCGCGGCTACTTCGACGAGGAGATGAACCGAACCCTCTCCGACCCCACCGACGACACCAAGGGCTTCTTCGACCCCAACACCCACGAGAACCTCACCTACACGCAGCTGAAGGAGAAGTGCATCGAGGATCCCGAGACGGGCCTCTACCTGCTGCCTCTGCGGGAGCCCGAGAAGCCTACGGTGGTGGAGACCACCCAGGTGTACACAGAGGCAGAGACGCGGAAGGTGTTTGAGGAGACGCAGGTGGAGATCCCCGTGGGCAGCAGGGCGGGCTCCTCCATGTCGCTGTGGGAGATCATGCACTCGGACCTGCTGCCCGAGGAGCAGCGGAGGCAGCTCATGGCGGAGTTCCAGTCGGGCCGTGTGTCCAAGGAGCGCATGATCATCATCATCGTTGAGATCATCGAGAGGACCGAGATCATCCGCCAGCAGAACCTCACATCCTATGACTACGTCCGGCGCCGCATCACGGCCGAGGACCTTTACGAGGCCAAGATCATCTCTCTGGACATATTCAACCTGCTGAAGCAGGGCTCCAAAACCTTCCGGGAGCTTCTGGACGTGGAGACCGTCTGGAAGTACCTCTACGGGTCGGGCTGCGTGGCTGGCATCTACATCCCCTCGTCCAAGCAGAAGCTCAGCATCTACCAGGCACTGAAGAAGGGGCTGATCAGCTCCGAGGTGGCCCGCTCCCTCCTGGAGGCCCAGGCCGCCACCGGCTTCATGATCGACCCCGCAAAGAACGAGATGCTGACCGTCGACGAAGCGGTCAGGAAAGGCGTGGTGGGGCCTGAGATCCACGACCGGCTCCTGTCCGCAGAGCGGGCCGTGACCGGCTACCGAGACCCGTACAGCGAACAGAAGATCTCCGTCTTCCAGGCCATGAAGAAAGACCTCATTCCCAGCGAAGAGGCCCTCAAGCTCCTGGACGCCCAGATCGCTACCGGTGGCGTCATCGACCCGCGCCTGGGCTTCCACCTGCCCCTGGAGGTGGCCTCCCAGCGGGGCTTCATCAACAAGGACACGTACGACATGCTGTCCGAGCCCAGCGAGGTGCGAAGCTACGTGGACCCGTCGACGGAGGAGAAGCTCAGCTACACCCAGCTCCTGAAGCGGTGCCGGAAGGACGAGGACAGCGGGCTCCTCCTGCTCCCGCTCTGCGACACGAGGAAGCTCACCTTCCGGGGGCTGCGCAAGCAGATCACCGTGGAGGAGCTGGTCCGCTCGCAGGTGATGGACGAAGCCACGGCCCAGCGCCTCCAGGAGGGCCTCACCTCCATCGAGGAGGTCTCGAAGAACCTCAAGAAGTTCCTGGAGGGCACCAGCTGCATCGCCGGCGTCTTCGTGGACTCCACGAAGGAGCGGCTGTCCGTGTACCAGGCCATGAAGAAGGGCATCATCAGGCCGGGCACCGCGTTCGAGCTCCTGGAGGCGCAGGCAGCCACGGGGTACGTGATTGACCCCATCAAGGGCCTCAAGCTGACGGTGGAGGAAGCTGTGCGGATGGGCATCGTGGGCCCCGAGTTCAAGGACAAGCTGCTCTCGGCTGAGAGGGCGGTCACCGGCTACCGGGATCCCTACTCCGGAAAGCTCATCTCCCTCTTCCAGGCCATGAAGAAGGGTTTGATCCTGAAGGACCATGGGATCCGCCTGCTCGAGGCCCAGATCGCAACGGGAGGCATCATCGATCCCGAGGAGAGCCACCGCCTGCCCGTGGAGATTGCCTACAAGAGGGGCCTCTTCGACGAGGAGATGAACGAGATCCTGCTGGATCCCAGCGACGACACCAAGGGCTTCTTCGACCCCAACACGGAGGAGAACCTCACCTACCTGCAGCTGATGGAGCGGTGCGTCACCGACCCAGAGACCGGCCTCTGCCTCCTGCCCCTGAAGGAGAAGAAGCGGGAGAGGAAGACCTCCTCCAAGTCCTCTGTCCGCAAGCGCAGGGTGGTGATCGTCGACCCGGAGACGGGCAAGGAGATGTCCGTGTACGAAGCCTATCGCAAGGGCCTCATCGACCACCAGACCTACCTGGAGCTGTCGGAGCAGGAGTGCGAGTGGGAGGAGATCACCACCTCCTCCTCCGACGGCGTGGTGAAGTCAATGATCATCGACAGGCGCTCGGGCCGCCAGTATGACATCGACGATGCCATCAGCAAGGGCCTGATCGACCAGTCGGCGCTGGACCAGTACCGCTCGGGCACCCTCTCCATCACCGAGTTCGCAGACATGCTCTCCGGCAACATGAGCGGCTTCCGCTCCCGGTCGTCCTCCGTGGGATCCTCCTCCTCCTACACCGTCAGCCCGGCCCCGGCGCGAGCGCAGACGGCCGTGTGGAGCGACCCGACCGAGGAGACCGGGCCGGTGGCGGGCATCCTGGACACCGACACTCTGGAGAAGGTGTCCGTCACGGAGGCCATGCGCCGCAACCTCGTCGACAACATCACGGGGCAGAGGCTGCTGGAAGCCCAGGCTTGCACCGGGGGCATCATCGACCCCAACACCGGGGACAAGTGCTCCGTCGCCGACGCCGTGAACAAGGGCCTGGTTGACAAAATTATGGTGGACCGCATCAACCTGGCGCAGAAGGCCTTCTACGGCTTCGAGGACCCGCGGACCAAGACGAAGATGTCGGCGGCCCAGGCCCTGAAGAAGGGCTGGCTGTACTACGAGGCCGGGCAGCGGTTCCTGGAGGTGCAGTACCTGACGGGGGGCCTGATCGAGCCCGACGTCGAGGGCCGCGTCTCCTTGGACGAGGCGCTGCAGAAGGGCACCATCGACACGCGCACGGCCCAGAAGCTGCGGGACGTGAGCACCTACTCCAAGTACCTCACCTGCCCCAAAACCAAGCTCAAGATCTCCTACAAGGACGCGATGGACCGGAGCATGATCGAGGACGGGACCGGTCTGCGGCTGCTGGAAGCGTCCTCCCAGTCCAGCAAGGGCTACTACAGCCCCTACAACGTCAGCAGCGCCGGCTCCACCTCCGGCTCGCGGTCGGGCTCCCGGACCGGCTCCCGATCGGGCTCCAGGCGAGGCAGCTTCGACGCCACCGGTTCCGGCTTCTCCATGACCTTCTCTTCCTCCTCCTACTCCTCCTCGAGCTTTGGGCGCCGATACGCCGCGGGCGAGGCGGCCGCCCTCGCCTCGTCCCTCCCGAGCGGGAGCTGCGGCGGGGAGGCGCGCGGGGAGCGCCCTGGGCTGCGCGGGACCCCGCTCTGCGTGGCCTGACACCCGCCGGCCCCTGCCCGAGGAACCCGCCGCCTCGCCCGCTCCGCATGTGGCAACGCTGCTGCCTAATCACTAGTAATACTTTTTTTTTTTTTTTTTTTTTTTAATTTTTAAACTCCATTCTTCTTCCAAAGCAGTGCCTAAAGTTTAACCAAAAAGACTAGACTAATATATTAATATATACGATTATTCAGACAGTATTTGTATATTACGAGACGAGAGAGAAAACACACTACCCTCCCAGACCTGGTGCCCCGGGAGCCCGCTGCCGTTCCTGCCCTCCGCAGAGCCGATGCCGCCCCGCCGCTCGGAGGCGGCGGCGAGGCATAGCTGGAAAAAACAGGAAAACAGGAAAACAGTTCTGCCTTTCTGATGTAACCACTCAGCGACTCTTTTGTAATGAACCCTGCCGGCTCCATCCCCTGCACCCCGAAGGAGGAGGCGACCCTGTGCACCGCGGCGTGCCGGAGGAGGACACCGCGGGCTCCTCGGCGCCGGACACCCGGAACCGCCCGGACCCCTTCGCCCGCCTGCCCGCGGCGAGGAGGGGGCTCCGCGCCCCGGCTCCCGAGCTGCCCCCGCTCCCCGGGCTCGGCCCTCCCGGCGCATCCCCCCACCGCGGGGCCGGTGCCCCCCGACCGTAAGTGCACGCCGGTGCTGCCCCGCGCTTCCGCGCCGTGCGAGGGACCCCGCCGCCGCTTCTCCCGCCGAGGGGCTTCGCTGCGTGGCCGCCCGCCGCCGCCTCCGCCCGCCCGCCCGCCCGCCCGCCCGCCCGTCTGTCTGTCTGTCTGTCTCTCCGTGTATCTGGGAAGTGCTCCGCACAAGGTCGATTTCTTAACACTGATGGTGTGGCTCTGATGAATTGCCAGGCGTCCGCCAGAGCCCGCGGCAGAGCCTGCGCTGCCAAAGCCCGCCCGGCTCCGCGCGCGGGTCCTGCGCCCAGACCCCAGCCGCTGCCCGGGGCTTCTCCAGACCCTCGCGGGGGGCGCGGAGGCTGCAGGATCCCCCCCCCACCTTCCCCCCCCCCCCCCCCCCGAGCGCTGGGTGGGTCGTGGGACGCTGCAGCAGCCCGGTGCGCTCTCTTGTTAGAAAAAAGGCGGATCTCTGTAAAACCGGACTCCTCTTTTCTTCCTCGTGGTAACCCCTTTCCTCCTGGCTTTGCTCGCCTCCCCTTCACCCGCAATAACGCGCTCTCTCTCTGGCAGACGTCTTTTTCCAGTCCCACCAGAGAAGTCCCCTTGCCGCTGGGCGAGTTCCTGAGCTGGGTCTCCGACGTCAGCAAGTCGTGGATGGGCTCGAGGGGAGCCCGGGAGGCGGCAGCTCCCCGGCCGTGCTCTCCGCCGCAGGTAACGCCAACCTTTCCAGCCTCTCTCCCCGGGGCCGGGGTTCCCCGCCGTCCCGCGGCTTCAGCCGGGCGCTGCGCTCTGCCCGGGGCGGGGGGATCGTTCTCCTCCCAGCGCGGTTTGGGGCCGCTGCCCGCGGCGGAGGCTCTCGGGCCGCGGGTGTGCCGGAGCGGGGCTGCGCGGGGGCGAGCGGGCTGGCGCGGGGGCGGGCGCGCGCGGCGCTGCCGGCTGGGCCCGATGGCTTCATCTCATGGACCAGTCCCCCCTGTCTCATCCCACCTTTTCTGTTCGCTTTGTTTTTAGTGTGGCTGGATGTCCATCCCAACTCCCCTCACCGCTGCCACGGAGCCCGTGCCCCCGCCCTGGGGCGACTGGGACCGCGCTCGAGGACACTGGGACATGCTCCCTCTCCCTTTCCACTTGCCAGAGTCCCCCGGCAGAGACCGGGGGCCACGCTGCCCGGGCGCGGGGGCTGCCCCGCGGCACCGGAGCCCCTCGGCCGGCAGCGGGGAGCCCCGGCCCACCCGCCGCCCCTGCCCCCCGGCAGCACGCAGCCCCCGGCCCCCCGCCACGCTCCGCCGGGGCCCCGGGCAGGGGCTGAAGCAATAAGTGACGCAGCGGCGGGGCCACGCCGGCTCGGGCTGTCGGGGCCGTAGCCCCCCGTGCCCGGCCCGGCCGACCCCGGCCCCCCCCCCCTGAGAGGCACCCACGCGGTCGCCTGGCCCCCGGCCCCCCCGCCGGCGTGCCCGTGCCCGAGCTGCACCCCCTCCTCCCCAGGGACGGCCTCCCGGCACACCCACGGATCTCCACAGCATCTCTCCTCCTTCCCGCCTGCTCTCATTTGCCACGTGTAAATCGAGTCATGTTATTCCTCAGCATTCGTTATTATTATTCTCATTATTCAGTTTTGCTTTTGCATGACATGCTAATGTGGGCGAGTCTGTACCATAGCCCAGCCCGGGCCGGGGCTCCCGCTCCCTCGGGGCCCTGCGCTCCCCTGAGTTCCCAATCATTTCTCATCAGGGCAGCAGGGGCTGATCAGTAATCTGAAAGCATCTCTTTTTGGGGGCAAAAACACTAAAAAATCCTAACTTGTACATACCATGAAGTGTTTGTAAAACATGCAGTATGGACCCATGGCTCTCCCCAGCGAGGTCAGTAAAAGAGATCCTATGAAACCAGCCGGCAGCTCCGCGTGGTCTGTTCGCCCTCGCTGCTCCCCGCCGGCGCGGCGCTGGGCCGCGGGGTTCGCTCCGCGCGGGTGCAGCGGCGGGTCCCCTGGTTTTGGGGACGGGGAGCAGCGGCGAGCGGGCACTGCGGGTGGCACGGAGGGTCCCGAGGCTGCGTCCTGCCTCGCGTGGGGCGGCTGCGAGGACGAGGGGCCGGGGGGCACACGGGCGGCCGGCGGCGGGGCAGCGGGACTCGTTACGGGCAGCCCCGGCAAACCGGGGAGACGTTGGCGCGGGCGCCCACTCCGGATTTGCGCCGGCGCTGGCTTGGGCGGCTTGAGGCACCTCTGCCGCCCAGCGCGCCGGGTGCCAGCGCTCCCCGAGCGGGGCACCGCGCAACGTCGGGGGCGGGGGGGCCGGGGGGACAGGCGGCAGCAGCTTGGGAGCCCGTTAGTGGCTTCGTGCGTCGGCAATTAGCAGCAGCGTGGGGGCTCCCTGCGGCGGGCCGGGGGCAGGGGGAGCAGCCCCGGGGCTGGGGGGGTGCTCACAGGCTGCTGTGCCCGTTCAAGGACGGCTCGGCGGGGTTGGCACAGGCAGCCCGGGGCCGTGCCCCACCTCTGCCCCACTCAGATGTTCCCTGCTCCCCTCCTTTAACCCCCCCCTTCAAGGCTGGACACCCCTCGCAAACCTCACGAGACCCCTCTGCATCCAGGGTTCAAGCCCCTGGGCCAGCCCCGCTCCATGGCCTAGAAGCCCCTCACCCCCCCCCGGTGAGACCCCCGCACCTCCTGGGGTGAGACCCGCCCCCCCCAGCTCCTGAATCCCCTGGGCCCAGCCCTTGTGTTTGCGGGGGGGGGGAGCCCCCTTCCCCACACACCCCTCAGCCCCGTGCCCGTGTTGGCCCCGGCACAGGGACCCTCCGCAGCACGGCACGGTGCCGGCAGCCGGGCGGGGGGGAGCAGCAGCTGGGCACTGAGCCGGAGCCGCACCGCGCACCAACAGCGGGTGATCGGGCCGAGTTAATTAGGACAGATAACCCTGTTACATTCTCGTTTTTAATGGGCTGCAGCTTAGCTCGCCCTGCCGACGCGCGGGCCGGCGCTCGCCCCTGTCGGGCCCGCTGAGCTGAACGGTCACGCAGCGTTCATGCAGAACGCCGCGCCGGCCGTGGCCGTGCCGCGCCGGTCATGACCATGCCGTGCTGGCCGTGGCCATGCCATGCCGGTCATGACCATGCCATGCCGGCCGTGGCCGTGCCATGCCGGTCATGACCATGCCGTGCCAACTGTGGCTGTGCCGCGCCGGTCATGACCATGCCGTGCCGGCCGTGGCCGTGCCATGCCGGTCATGACCATGCCTTGCTGGCCGTGGCCGTGTCATGCCGGTCACGACCATGCCTTGCTGGCCGTGGCCGTGCCATGCCGTTCACAACCATGCCGTGCCGGCCGTGGCCGTGCCATGCCAGTCATGACCATGCCATGCTGGCCGTGGCCGTGCCATGCCAGTCATGACCATGCCGTGCTGGCCGTGGTTGTCACCGGCTCTCCCACAGCGCTGGCGGGACCCTCGCCGGGTGGGCACCCCGCTCCCAGCTGTGCCGCGGCCGAGCCAGACCGTGCCGCAGCACGCTGCACCCCCGGCCCCGCGCCGGTTCCCCACACCCCGGACGTGCGGGGGAACGCCAAACCGCACCATCCCGTCCCGCCGCGGCCGCCGGCCCGGCCTCGCCGGCACACACCAGCCCCCGCGGCTTGGCCCGTCGGCGAGGGGCACCGGGGGCGAGCGGCTGCGGGGCGCGTGGGGCGGCGGGGCATCGGGCACGCGGGGTCTGCCGCGAGCAGGCGCGGACGGGCCGGAGCCTCGCTGGCACGAGGCTGGCGCCGTCCCTTGCCGACACGGCGGAATAGGCCCCTTTTATTCACTCAGATTTTGGGGTGTGAACAAACATCCGCCTCCCCCCGGCCCTCCCCTCGGCGAGCAGCCCCCCGAACCCCTGGGGAGCTCCTCCCTTCCCGCAGCTCCTTTCGCAGGCGCTTTGGCTCATCTCTGACCTCTGCAGCCGAGGGCAAACTTTGCCTTTTGCCCCTCACCTCGTCTGCCCCGCGCCCCCGTTTTCCCCGCTCCCCCATCGCCCCCAGCCGCGGGTCTCGCTCCCACCCCCAGGACCCGGCTTGTGCCCACGGGAGGCGAAGCCTTGCCGGGATGTGGCCCCCAGCCCCGGGGGCACCAAGCACCAGCCCGACTCCGCTTCCCTTTTTCTTGGCGTTTTGCTGCTGCTTCTGGGGCGGTTCCTGACCAGGCCCCCGCCCGCAGCTCCTTCCTCGGCAGCTTCACCGGTCGCCGCTTCCTCCCAGTGACCCCCAGCCCCGTCCAGCCCCGTTTTGGGCCAAGTTCTGGCTCAGCCACGTTACCGGCACCGTGGCCGGCCAGGGCAGCACCGCTGTGTCGCTTCGGCATCGAAGCGGTTTCATCTCCCATTTGTCAAGCCCACGCTCCTCGGCTGTTTCCCCTCTCGGGCACGTGGTCCACCCGGCCTTGCGCTCGCTGCCGTCTCCGTGGCACCACCGCACCCCGCGCCCACGGTTCTCCCCCCGCTCCTGCAGCCTTTCTGGCAGCGCCCGCGCTCCCGTTCCTGCCCCGCAGCAGCCGCCCTCGCTGTGTCCCGGCTAAACCCGGCCAAGGGGCCGCTCCTTCCCGAGCTCCGCGCTCCCTGGCTCCTCCGACAGACGCCTCGGAGCTGCCTGAGTCTCCCCTTCCTCCTCCTCCTCCTCCTCCTCCTCCGGGCAGCCCTCTGTGTCGGCTGCAGCCCCTTGCCTGCCGTGACGGCAGCGTGGCCACCACCCCCTCGGGCCTCCCCACAGCTCCGGCCACCCGCACCGTGCACTTTCCCATTTCCCTCGCCGGGATGCCCAGCGCCGCGGGCTGCTCCCCCTCGTTAGGCTCAGCCGGGCGTTACCAGGGTTAACGGTGGGTTAATTGCAGGGCGCCCCGCTCCCCCCTGCAAACCCGGCTCCTCTGCCAGGGCCCGGAGCAGCCGCTGGCATCTTCCTGCCCACCCTGTCCCCGTGCCCGTGCAGAGGGACGTCGCTCCCAGCCTTGTTTCCCTGCGGCACCTCCTCCTGCTTGTCGCAGCGCCGGAGCTGGAGCGGCCGCAGGCCCGGCGGAGCCGACGGTTTGGGTTGCGGCGGGAGGCACGGCCGGAGGTGGCCTTGGGGACATCGACGGCTCCCGGGCCGGCGTCGCTCGGGCAGGTGCCTCTCCCCGCGGTGCGGGGCTCTGCGGCCGGAGGAGGGCTTGCAGGGCTGATAACGTGTTATCTTCACCGCCACGGCCGCGCCGGCCCGGCCCTTCTGGCGCTGGTACAGAAGCCGGGGAGGTTTCTGCTGGGAAGATACTGGTCCCCGTGGGAGCTGGCGGGGGCGGCACCATCTCGGGGTGCCCCGGCTCAGCTCTGGGGTGTCCCAGCTGAGCCCCGGTGCCGGCGCCCGAGGGCGGCAGCTCCCGCCGTACCCGCAGGCTCCCGGCAAACCGCGGTGAACCAGCTTCGGCACGCCGTGCTCCCCGCCGGGTGCCGTGAACGTGGCCCCTCCTGTGCGCCGGCACGTGTGGGGAGCGGCGCCCCGAAACGTGCCATGGGGCTGCTCCCAGGCGCTGGCTGCCGCAGCTCGAGGGGCACTTGCCCACCCCCTGCGCCTTCTCTTCTCGGCCGAGGTGCCGTTGCTCCGTGCCCCCGCAGCGGGCCGGCTCCGCCGTCCGGGGTGCTCCGAGGGCACGCACTCAGAACGCTGCAAAACGCCCCAAAACCAGGGTGATGCCGCTTCCCACCACGGCCCCCGGCAGATACTGCCCCCAGCAAGGGCAGAGGGGCCTGATCCTGTGCGCGGCGCTGGGGAAATGGGGTGGGTGGGGGAATGAGGCAGAGCCCCCGGCCGGGCTGCGAGGCGCTGCGGGTCAGTTTGCCGTGGCTCGGTTGGGGCTCAGCCCGGCACCGGGCCGTGGGCTCAGCAGCACGCGGCGTGGCGAGGGGCGGACGGAGGGACACCGGGGACCAGCGCCCAGAGCGAGCCGGGGGGGCCGGCAGCTGTAGCTGGCAGCAAGTGAGAGCTGGGAGCGCTCCCGGGGTAAAAAAGGGTCGGGAAATGCGGGAGCGCTGCAGGAACCGCCGCTGCGAGCGGTGCTCGTCCCGGCAGAGGACACCGAGACGGGCAGAGCCGAAACCCGCAGGTACCAGTGGTGGCTGGCGGGCGAGGGCTGCGGGGCCGGAGGTCGGGGGTCCCGGCCAGGGGTGCTCCGGTGAGGATGGGCCCGGTGGCTGCCGCTCTGCGGGGAGGCCAGTCTCCGGGGGGGACACAGCAACCACCCCGAGATCACAGCGCTGGTGTGCTGAGGGGGCTGGTGGAGCCTCGTCCTCCTCCCCTCTGCCGCGTCCCGACGCCCCCTCCCCACCCGCCCCTCTGCTCTCCTTGCAGAAGCGCGGTGCTGCCGACGACGCCGGGAAGAGCGTGGAGGGGTCGTCGCCGGACGGGGAGGAGATGGAGAGGTACGGGCACCGCTGGGCACCGCGGGACGAGCTGGGGTCTGCACGTCCGTGCGTGGGCACCCGCACCGCGGTGAGGGGAGCCGGGGCGAACCCTGCACCTCCCCAGGGGTCCAGGCCAGCTGCTGGGGTGCGGGTCACCTGCTCTCAGGCGAGGAATGTCCCCCGCGGGGCGAGCAGGGATGGGACCGGAGAGCCACGGGCACTGGGTACGGGCATGGGGAGCCGGCGGCCACGGGGACGGCGCTGGGTTTATCCGGCCCAGGGCGCGGACTCGGGGGGAGGTACTGGCACAAATGTGGCCGAGGCCATCAGCCCCGGGATCGCTCCCTTTGGGGGTGTCCCCGGCCAAGGGGCGCGCGGGGCTGGGGACAGCGTGGGGGGCAGCGGGCACCGGCCACGCCGGCGGGCTGGGGGTGAGGCCGGTTATGGGGGGCCTGCGAGGGGTGAATGGAGCCTCCTGGGAGCGGAGCCGCAGAGTTGCACCCCACAGCCCAGCACGTCCCCAGCCCTGCACCCCACAGCCCGGCATATCCCAGCCTGCACCCCACAGCCCGGCATATCCCAGCCCTGCACCCCACAGCCCGACACGTCCCCAGCCCTGCACCCCACAGCCCAGCATATCCTAGCCTGCACCCCACAGCCTGACACGTCCCCAGCCCTGCACCCCACAGCCCAGCACGTCCCCAGCCCTGCATCCCACAGCCCAGCATATCCCAGCCTGCACCCCACAGCCTGGCATATCCCAGCCCTGCACCCCACAGCCTGACACGTCCCCAGCCCTGCACCCCACAGCCCGGCATATCCCAGCCTGCACCCCACAGCCCGGCATATCCGAGCCTGCACCCCACAGCCCGACACGTCCCCAGCCCTGCACCCCACAGCCCGACACGTCCCCAGCCCTGCACCCCACAGCCCGGCATATCCCAGCCTGCACCCCACAGCCCGACACGTCCCCAGCCCTGCACCCCACAGCCCGACACGTCCCCAGCCCTGCACCCCACAGCCCGGCATATCCCCAGCCCTGCACCCCACAGCCTGACACGTTCCCAGCCCTGCACCCCACAGCCCGGCATATCCCAGCCCTGCACCCCACAGCCCGACACGTCCCCAGCCCTGCACCCCACAGCCCAGCACATCCCCAGCCCTGCACCCCACAGCCCAGCACGTCCCCAGCCCTGCACCCCACAGCCCGACACGTCCCCAGCCCTGCACCCCACAGCCCGGCATATCCCAGCCCTGCACCCCACAGCCCGACACGTCCCCAGCCCTGCACCCCACAGCCCGGCATATCCCAGCCCTGCACCCCACAGCCTGACACGTTCCCAGCCCTGCACCCCACAGCCTGGCATATCCCAGCCCTGCACCCCACAGCCCGACACGTCCCCAGCCCTGCACCCCACAGCCCGGCATATCCCAGCCTGCACCCCACAGCCCGACACGTCCCCAGCCCTGCACCCCACAGCCTGACACGTCCCCAGCCCTGCACCCCACAGCCCAGCACGTCCCCAGCCCTGCACCCCACAGCCCGACATATCCCAGCCCTGCACCCCACAGCCCGGCATATCCCAGCCTGCACCCCACAGCCCAGCACGTCCCCAGCCCTGCACCCCACAGCCCGACACGTCCCCAGCCCTGCACCCCACAGCCCGACATATCCCAGCCCTGAACCCCACAGCCTGGCATATCCCAGCCTGCACCCCACAGCCCGACACGTCCCCAGCCCTGCACCCCACAGCCTGGCATATCCTAGCCTGCACCCCACAGCCCAGCATATCCCCAGCCCTGCACCCCACAGCCTGGCATATCCCAGCCTGCACCCCACAGCCCAGCATATCCCCAGCCCTGCACCCCACAGCCCAGCACGTCCCCAGCCCTGCACCCCACAGCCCAGCATATCCCCAGCCCTGCACCCCACAGCCCAGCATATCCCAGCCCTGCACCCCACAGCCTGACACGTCCCCAGCCCTGCACCCCACAGCCCGACACGTCCCCAGCCCTGCACCCCACAGCCCAGCATATCCCAGCCTGCACCCCACAGCCCGACACGTCCCCAGCCCTGCACCCCACAGCCCGACACGTCCCCAGCCCTGCACCCCACATCCTGCTGTGTCCCCGGTCTCTCCCCAGAGCGTGGCAGCGTGGCGAGCATTGGGAGTGGAGGCTGGAGGCGCACGAGCAGCTGCTGGCCCTGCGGCACTGGCTGGACGCCGTGGAGAAGAGGTTGCCCATCCTGGCGGAGCCCATCCTGGCCCCGCAGGTAACGGGCTGGCCCCGGGCACGCCGCGGCCGGCGGAACCGCTCAGAGCCAGGCAGGACACAGCCCACATCGCCACCGAGACTGGTGAGGTCTCGGTCCCCGGATGGTGCCGGCTGGGCGGCCCTTTGGCACAGCACCGTGAACCGGCTGGTGACACCGTGGCCAGGCAGGGTCCCGTGTGCCCAGCTCCGGCTCCCCAGCCTGACGAGGCTCGCCTGCCCGTGGTCCCCACCGACACCATCACGGGCTGCCGTGGGCTCGGAGCCTGCTGCACCCGTGGCCCTGCCGGTACCCGTGGCATCGCCGCCTCCGAGCCACGCTGGCACCAGGGTCACCTTCTGCACTGGGATCGGCTGTGTCCCACGGCACCGTGACGCAGGCAGTGTGTGCAACCGTGGACAGGGTGTGCAGCTGTGCACGGGGTGTGTAACAGGCCGGGGGGTGTGTAGCCGTGCACGGGGTGTGTAACAGGCCAGGGGGTGTGTAGCCATGCACAGGGTGTGTAACAGGCCATGGGGTGTGTAACCGTGCACAGGGTGTGTAACCGTGCACGGGGTGTGTAACAGGCCAGGGGGTGTGTAACCGTGCACAGGGTGTGTAGCCGTGCATGGGGTGTGTAACAGGCCAGGGGGTGTGTAACAGGCCATGGGGTGTGTAGCCGTGCACGGGGTGTGCAGCTGTGTATAGGGTGTGTAAATGTGCACAGGGCGCGTAACCGTGCGCAGCCGCGTCCCCCTGCCCCGGCGCGGGGTGCGCAGCCACACCAGGGGTGTCCCCCCGCCTGGGCGCCTGTGGCCGTGCTGTCCCCCGCTCTCCACCGCCCCGTGTCCCCGTGCCCGGACGCTGGGGGGGCCGCGCCATGTCCTGCCCCGGCGCAGGCCGCCAGCTCCGCCACCCCGGCCGTGCCGAGCGGGGGCTGCCCCTCCTCGCCGCCCTCCCAACAGCCCCTCGCCGGCTCCTTTTGTTCGGGCCTGGCCAGCACACGGGCTCCCTCCGCACACATGACGGCACAAACTGAAAGGGCCATTCATCCCGGCCACGGCGCAGACAAAGCCGGGGCCGAGGAGAAACCCACCCGGCTCCCGGGATCTGAGGCGGCGGATTCCAGCCGGCCGCTCTCGCCCGGTGCCCCGCGCTGGGCTCCCTCTGCCCGGGGCACCCGCGCCACCCCCAGCCCCGGTACCCGGGGCTGCGGAGCGTGCCAGGCGGGCTCCGGGCAGGCGAGCGGGCCGGGAGGCGGCGAGCGGCTCCGCCGAAGGAGCCCCGCCGGGCGCCGTGGGGTGCCCGGGGTGCCTCGCCAGCACGGTGGCTGCGCCCTGGGGGTCCCGAGGCTCGTGCGTCCCCCCCGTGGGGTAGCAGGGAGGAAGGGGGGGGGGGGGGCTGTGCTGCTGGGCTGAGCCTGGGGGCTGGGGGAGCAGCCCCCCCCCCCGCCCCAGGGCCCACCCCAATTTGTGGGGCTCAGCGGGGCTCCGAGGCACCATCAGCCAGGCCCCGGTCCCGCCTGCGCCGCCCGGGTCGGCTGGGGATGCCCGGCAGCCCCCGAGGGGACCGGTGCCTCGGCTGGGCGCCCACGCACGGATCCGGCGCCGGGTGCTGAGCTCCTCGCTGCCAGCACCGTGCGCGGGGGACGGTGCGATGCCGCAGGAGGGCCGGGGTTATGCTAATTCCCTGCCGCGTCGCCGGCAGCCGAGCAGACAAAGCCCCCGGCCCCCTCCGCCCGCCGCTTTCAGGAGACCCCGAGGGAGCCCCATCCATCAGCGCAGCGCGGCGCTCCGCGCAGCGGCCCCCCCGGCTCCGAGGGGCCCCCGCTCCTTTGTGTGGGGCAGGACCCCCCGCCCCGGAGGGCCTCTCGCTGGCTTCGGGGCCGCCGTGCCGGAGCGGGGTCCCGGCGGGCTGAGGATGGGGCTCGGCCCCCCACCCCGGCACCTCCGGCCGCCCCTTGGCCCCCCCCAGGGCAGGGGCAGGAGGGGGGGCCCTGGGCTCCGCGCCCCGACGCCCCGGGGGGAGGCAGGTGGGGGATTTGCACCAGCATCTCCGCGGCCCCACCGAGGACACCTGCACCCACAGAGCCCCTGGGGAGGGGACCCTGCACCCACAGACCCTCTGGGGAGCCGGGCTGCACCCCCTTTGTGAGCGCAGCTCACAGCAGCGCCATCACCCCGGGGGGGCCGGGGGGGGTCAGCGCTCCCCGGAGGTGTGCGACCCCCAGAGCCAGAGGGGCTGCGCCGCCGTGGGGCTGTGCTCCCGTGGGGCTGTGCCGCCGTGGGGCTCTGTCAGTATGGGGCTGTGCCGCCGTGGGGCTGTGCTCCCGTGGGGTTGTGCCGCTGTGGGGCTCTGTCAGTATGGGGCTGTGCTCCCGTGGGGCTGCGCCGCCGTGGGGCTGTGCTCCCGTGGGGCTGTGCCGCCGTGGGGCTCTGTCAGTACGGGGCTGTGCTGCCGTGGGGCTGTGCCGGTACGGGGCTGTGCTCCCGTGGGGCTGTGCTGCCGTGGGGCTGTGCTGCCGTGGGGCTGTGCCGGTACGGGGCTATGCTCCCGTGGGGCTGTGCTGCCGTGGGGCTGTGTTGCCGTGGAGCTGTGCTGCCGTGGGGCTGTGCCGGTACGGGGCTGTGCTCCCGTGGGGCTGTGCTGCCGTGGGGCTGTGTTGCCGTGGAGCTGTGCTGCCGTGGGGCTGGGCCGGTACGGGGTTGTGCTGGTATAGGGTTGTGCTGCTGTGGGGCTGCGCTCCCGTGGGGCTGTGGGTGCAGGCACGCAGGGGATGTGGTCAGATCCCGATCTCCGAGCGGTGCCGGTGCCGCTGCGGGGGGTCGGTGGGGTGGTCGGTGTGGGGTCGGTGTGGGGTCGGTGGGGGGTCAGCCGGGGGGCCCTTGGGGGGGTCGGGCCGCCCCCCCGGGGAGCACCGCGCGGGGCGGGCGGTGGGAACGGCGCGGCTCCCCTCCCCCTGCCCGGGATGGCTGCGAGGCCCCGGGGGTTTCCCCGGTAACGGCGCCGTCCAGCGCGCGAAGGGTTAACGCGGGCGGCCGTGTTGGACCGGGGGGGGGGGCCGGGGAGTCAGCCGGGCCGAGCCGGGACAGTGCCGAACCGTGCCGAGCCGGGCCAGTGCCGAACCGTGCCGAGCCGGGCCGGGCCGGGCCGAGCCGGGCCAGTGCCGAGCTGTGCCGAGCCCAGCAGAGCCCAGCCGGGCCAGTGCCGAGCCCAGCAGAGCCCAGCCGGGCCGAGCCGGGCCAGTGCAGAACCGTGCCGAGCCGAGCCCAGCCGGGACAGTGCCGAGCCCAGCAGAGCCCAGCCGGGCCGAGCCGGGCCAGTACCGAGCCCAGCAGAGCCCAGCCGGGCCAGTGCCGAACTGTGCCGAGCCGAGCCCAGCAGAGCCCAGCCGGGCCGAGCCGGGCCAGTGTAAAACTGTGCCGAGCCGTGCCGAGCCGAGATGAGCCGGGCCGAGCCGGGCCAGTGCTGAACCGTGCCGAGCCTTGCCCAGCAGAGCCAAGCCGGGCCAGTAGAGCTGGGCCGAGCCGAGCCGGGCCAGTGCCAAGCCGGGCCGGTGCCGAGCCGAGCCGAGCCGAGCCGAGCCGAGCCGAGCCGAGCCGGGCCGAGCCGATCGGAGCCGGAGGGTCCCCGCCCGCCCGGTGCCGCCCCGTCCCCCCCGCCCCGCCCGGCCGCAGCGCACAAAGGCGGCAGCGGGGCCGGGGCGGGCGATGCCCGGGCGGCGGTAACGGGGGGGCCGAGCCCCGCTCCGCTCCGCTCCGCCCGGGCCGGGCCGCCCCCCCCCCCGCCCCCCCGGCAGCCCCCGCCATGGCCCGGCGGCGCGGCGGGTAGCGGGGGGCGGCGGCGGAGCCCCCCCCGGCCCGGCCCCATGGACGCCCGGCTCGGCTGAGGGGTGAGTGCCGGGGCAGCCCGGGGGCGCGGGGGGGGGGGGCCCTGTGGCCGTGGACCCCGCGGGGGGAGCCCAAGGCCGGCGGCGAGACTGCGGGGTGCGTGGGGCCGGGCGGGGGTTGCGCGGCTGTGGAGAGGCCGGTGATGCTCCGGGGGCGGGGGGTGCGCGGTGTCCCCGAATCACCCCTCGCCTCGCCGGACCCGGCATCCTTCCCCCTCCCACCCCCCCCCACTCGACCTGCGTGGACGGGCTCCCGTGGGGGCAGCGCTGCAGCCCGGGCGAGCGAGTCGGGGCCCCGCCGTGTCCGCGGCGTGTCCGTGCGGGGGGGCTCCGGCGGGGGGGAGGGGCGCTCCGGCCACGCCGGGGTGCGCGGCTGCCGTGGGCCCACGCACGGGGGCCCGTGTCGCGTGGGCAGGCTCGCGTGTCGCCGTGCTGACCCAGGCGTGGGGTCTCTGCCTGTTGCTCGGCGCGGGGCAGTGCGTGTGTGTGCGTGTGTGTGTGTGTGCAGGTGGAGGCGGGGGGGGGGGGGGGGGTGCGTGTAAGCATGGTGTCCGTGCGGTCACGCGTGTGTCATCCCTTCCGTGAGTGCCCACGCAGGTGGGTCCCGGTGGGGGCAGCGCTGCGGCGGGGGCTCTGCCGAGGAGGTGGGGGGGGGAGGCTGGCGTGGGAGGGTCCCACGGAGGGTTGCGGGTGATTTATGGCTGCGGCAGGGTGGGGGGCCCACCCAGCCCGCTGCTGGGTGGGTGCTGGTGGGCGGGTGGCCCCCGGCCCTCTCCCCCCGGAGCCTTTGTGGGGCCCTGTGGACAGATGGCTCCTTTCTCCCGCCGCCGCCGGCCCCCGAGTTCATCCAACGGCACAAAGCGACGCCGGGCGGGAGCATCTGCCCCGCGCTGCCTCCCCGTGCCCCCCGTTTACCCGCCTGCTAGCGAGGGGTGGCAATGCCGCAGAGCCCTCTGCTCGCCCCGAGGTGACGACGGCCAGCGCCTCGTCCAGCAGCCCTTTGCTGGGTGGGGGGGAGCCGGGAGCCCCCCCGAGCCCGGGCAGGAATTTGGGTGGCCCGGGGAGCAGGACAGGGTCCGGGCACTGCGCAGCCCCGCGCTGGCCCCGATAACGCCCGTCCTCCTGGCTCGTTTCAGGCCGGGATCTGAGGCGGGGGCCCGGCGCCCGTGCCCGTGCCATGGGGAATTCGGTGAGCCGGCCCAGCTGCCTGGGCGAGAAGAGCCGGCGGCCGGACGAGCTCCTCCGGGAGCCGCCGCCCCGGGAGCCGGGGCTGGACGCGGGGCAGCCGCCCGGCAGGAGCGTCGCCGAGGCCTGGCCGGGGCCGCCGGTGGAGAACGGCTGGAGCCCGGTGCCCGGCGCCGGCCGGAGCTGGGCGGGCAGCCCCGTGCTGAAGCGCAGCCAGTCCGAGGTGACGGTGCAGAACGGGAGCACGGCCTGTGTCCCGCTGAAGGGGCAGGCGGGGGGCGCTGCCTGGACACCCCCCCGGGCCGGTGCCCCCCGGAGCGCCTGGTCCTGGAAACCCGTCACCACCCGCGAGGTGACGGAGGTGACGGAGGTGACCGAGACCATCGTGACGGAGATCGTGGAGGTGACCGAGTACCCGGCCGGCGAGAAGGGCGGGGAGCCCCTGGTCACCCGGACGGTCACGGTGCTGACGGAGCGCGCGGGGGAGCTCGCGGCCGGCGGCCGCGCCGGACACACGGACACCGCAGAGGTGACTGACTGCCGGGCAGGGACCCCCGCTGCGGCAGACGCCGTGCCGGCCCCGGCGGGGATGCTTTGCTGGCACCCTTGTCCCCGCCAGTCCCTCGTCCGGTGCTCGCGTGGGGTCTGCGCCCGCTGTGCGCGCCCCGCGGTGCCCTGGTGTGGGCAGAGCCACCGGTACCCCCCGCCCCATTGCTGCGCACCCAGCCGGGCACCGGAGGATGCGGCTGGTGGGGGCTGTGTGTCTGGAGGGGGCCCGTACGGCACGGGGTGCACCCGGGGTATGCAGCCCCTGTTTTGGGGAGCCCCGCCGGCAGCGCCTGGTCTGTCGGCCCCGAGGAGCAGCGGTGCAGAGAGCCCGTCCCGACACAGCCCCGCCGATGCGGCGAGCAGGGGATGCGGATTGCCTCCCGGGCTGGGCACGGTGGGGAGGAACGTACCCCAGCCCCACGGCTGCCCCACGGCTGCCCTCCGGGCGGCTCAGCCACGTTTCTCCCCAGGTATCCCCGCGGGCTGTCCCCGTCCCAGAGGAGGTGGCTGGCGTGGAGCGAGCCCAGGACACGCTGGAGAGCTTGCTGGCCTGGGTGGCCGACATGGAGGAGCTGGTGAGCAACCAGAAGCCGCCGTCGGCGGAGGTGAAGGTGGCGAAGGCCCAGCTGGAGGAGCAGAAGGTCAGCAGATCCGTGCCGGCGTGTCCCCCCCCACCGTGCCGCTCTGGGGCTGGGGCTCGGCGGGGCTCGGGGGGCAGAGTGGGGGTCCCCGGCACAGCGCTGTTCCCCGCGGCCTTGCAGCTCCTGAAGCGGCTGCTGGAGGAGCGGAGGCCACGCGTGGAGCTCGTGCTGCAGGACAGACCGGTGCCGGCGGCACACGGCTCCGGCACCGTGGCGCCCGAGGGGAGCGGCAGCCTCTGCGGCCTCGGGGAGAAGTGGGGCAAGCTGATGCAGGAGGCTGAAGCCAGGTGGGTTGGGGTCGGCAGCCCTGTCCCCCCCCGCCCCACCGCGATCCCCCTGACGTCCCCACGTGCTCTGCCCCGCTCGTGCCCGGGCTGCGCCGTGCCCCACGGACTGTGGGGCGGGTTGTGGTCCCTGCAGCCTCGCCACCGGCGAGGGGCTCGCTCCGGACCGGGCACCGATGGGTCACGCAGTGGGGCTGGGGCCACCTCACCCTGCGTCCCAGTGTCCCCAGTCCTGGCTGGGATGAAGCGGGACCCCCGTGGCCTCTCCTCGGGATGCTCGTGGTGCTGCCTGGGCTGGGGATGCTGGCCTCGCCCCTCACGTTTGGGGTGGGATTTTTGGGGTGGGGAGCACAGGGCGGGGGGACCACTGAGGTAGGAATGGGCCACCCAGCCCCAGTGGCAGGGGGACAGGAGGCTTCTCCAGCCAGGACCTTGGTCTCGCACCTGTGAGGCCCCTGGGACTGGGGGCTGTCACCCTCCCCAGCTGCCCCCCCGCCTTCCCGGCACAGGTACGGCCGCCTGGAGCGGATCCTGCCGGCGGCACAGGGCTTCCAGGAGGCCGTGGACTCCTTCCAGGAGTGGCTCGGTGCCACGGAGCGGCAGCTGGCCCAGCTCTGGCGCGCCAACGGCTGCGTCCGCCGCGTGCAGGACGCCCACCAGCAAACCCAGGTCGGGGCCGGGCGGGGGTGCGGGGTGGGCTTGGGGCAGGGCGAGCGGGGCACGGCGGGACGGGTGGGGAGGGCTGGGTATGGGGGGGACGCCCGTGGGCGTAGCGGCGGGGGGGGACAAGTGGCAGTCACCACCACGGGAGCCTCTCGCCCAGGCGCTGTGCGAGGAGATTCGCGGCCGGCTGGGAGAACTGGACGGAGCCCTGGAGAGCGGGCAGAGGGTCCTGGAGATGGTGACAGGCGAGTGGCCGCCGGGTCGGGGCTGTGGGACGTGGAGCGTGTCACGCAAGGGGCTGTGCCAGCACCGAGGGGGACCCCGGGGCGCGCTGGGGGCTGCGGGAGTGTGGGGTCCCTTTTGGATGGAGGGCGGCCGGGGGGGACCCTGGCCCCTGGGGCGCACTGGCAGCGGGGGGTGGCCAGCAAGCTGAATTTTGCTGCTGGTGGGGATGAGGGGCCGGAGCCGGGTCCAGGAGAAGCAGAAGGCGGATGGGCACAGGGGAAGGTCAGGACAGAGCGAGCGTCGGGAGGGAGGGCAGGTGTTGGCACGGCAGGTCCCCGTCCCCGGGGACACCGGCCGCAGCAGCGCTGACGCCGGCCGCGGTGCTGCCGCAGGGGAGGAGGCCCAGCTGGCGCAGGAGAAGATGGAGTCCCTGAGGATGCGGTACCTCATCGTGGGCCAGAGCAGCGCCGACACCGCGCACCGGCTGGGGCAGACCCTGGAGGCCTCGTCCCGCCTGGGCGCTGCCCAGGAGGACCTGGCGCTTTGGCTGGGCCGCGTGGAGAAGGAGCTGGGCTCCTGGGACAGCCAGCGCGGTGGCCGGGAGCCCCCGGTCGGCACGAGTGACAGGGAGAAGGTGGGGGACGCGGGGGTCTGGGGACAGTCGCCCTCTGCCCCCTTCACCGCTCCCCGGCCCCGCGGCGTTGCTGCCTGCAGTGGGCAGCACGGGGGAGTCGGGGCTGGGGGGGACGCGCTCGGTTACGGCTGAAGGCGCCGCAGCAGATGCGCCGGGGGCAGGGGGGGGCCCGTGTTGCGGCGAGGCGGGCCCGGTGCCCTGACCGTGCTCCTCTCCGCCGCAGTTCGAGCAGATCCTGGACTCCCAGCTCGCCCGCGTGGCGCGGCTGGGCGAGCGGCTGGAGGAGATCGGGCGGGTGCAGCTGGACGCCCAGGCTCTCCGCTCGCAGCTCGCCGATCAGAAGGTGGGTCCGCTGCTCTGGGCCAGCACCCGCACCCCAAAACGGGGGTGCCCGAAGTCCCCAGGGACACTGGCCTCTGTCTTCCAGCTGCTCTCGGCCGAGATCCTGCACCACCGGGGACTGGTGGAGCGTCTGCTGGGGATCTCGGACCCGCTGCTCCTCTCCTGCCCCGAGCCCCTGCGGCAGCACCTCCAGGTGAGTGGCCGTGCCGGGGCTGCGCCGGTGCCCGCCGTGGGGGATGCTGCCCCGGGGACGGCTGCCCCGCGCCCCCGGCACCCCGGTGAGCCGCCCGTCCGCGCAGCCCTCGGTGCAGGCGCTGCGGGAGCGCACGGAGCAGCTCTTCCTGCGCAGCGGAGCCTGCGCCGTGCAGCTGGAGCACGCCCAGTCCCTGCTCGCCCAGTTCTCCGAGGCCCACGAGGAGCTGTTGCCCTGGCTGGAGGAGACGCAGGTCGTCGGGGCGCAGCTTTTCCCCGACGCCATCAGCTACGAGGCCCTCAAGGAGCAGCAGGCGCTGCTGCAGGTGAGGGCGGGGTGGCCGGGGCATGGGGAAGGTGTGGGACACCCTGTGCCACCCCGTGGGGGCGGGAGCAGACGGCGGGATGGAGGGGACAAAGCTGCGGGCACCCGCCGCGCACGAGCACCGTCCCGCGGGAGCAGAGCCTGGGCAGCCCTGGGGCGCCCCGGGGCACGTGCCCGTCCCCACGGCTTTGCCTCGGCCCGCAGTGCCTGCGGGAGGCCATCGCGGAGCACCGGCCGCTGGTGGGGAAGCTGCAGCGCGTCTCGGCGCAGCTGGCGGAGCTGAGCCCCGAGCAGGGAGCCCCGTTCCAGCAGCGCTGGCGGGAGGCGGAGGAGCGGTACGGCCGCGTCCGCGAGCGCGCGCGCCAGGCGGCTGCTCTGCTGGAGGACGCCCTGCCGCGTTACAGCCAGGTACGGCACCGGCACCGGGGCTGGCGGGGGACGGCGTCCCCTTCCGGGGCTTCCCCTCCGGTGACCGGGCTGGTGCCCCCCAGCTGACGGAGCGCATGGACCTGCTGCTGGAGTGCCTGGAGCGGCTGCAGAGCCGCCTGCAGAGCCAGCCCCCGGCCCGCGGCGACGCGGCCCACCTCCGGGAGCAGATCCGTGAGAACAGCCTGGCCCTGGGCGAGCTGGAGAAGCTGGGGGTGGCCCTGGAGACCGTCCGGACGCAGGGCGGCGAGCTGCTGGCCAGCATGCAGGCGGCAAACTCCGACGCTGCTGCCAGAGGTACCGGCACGGAGAGGCAGGCGTGCTGGTGCGGCGGCGCATCCCCGCACACACGCGGCACCCCGCAGGGGCCGCGTCCCCGCTCGGGGCTGGGTCGGGGTCCCTCGCAGCGCCCCGAGGCCGAGCCCCCTCCCTCCCGTGCCCCGCAGGGATCCAGGAGCGCACGGCTCAGCTGCTGTCCCAGTGGGGCTGCCTGCGGGGCCGCTGCCAGGAGCAGGAGCGGTGGCTGCGGGAGCTGCTGGCGCTGGCCGACCGCTTCTGGCACGGCCTCTCCGAGCTGGCCCTGACGCTGAGCGACACCCAGCAGCTCGTGCTGGGGCTGGAGGAGGCCGGCGGCGAGCCCGAGGCCATCCGCGCGCGGCTCCGCACCATGCAGGTACGGGCCGGGGAGGGGGCTGGGTGGGCGCGGGCGGCCCCGCGGCAGCGCCGAGCCCCCTCGTGCCGCCCGCAGGCGCTGCGGGAGGAGATCGACTCGCTGCAGGGCGAGCTGGACGCGCTGGGCAGCCTGGGCGTGGAGCTGATGTCCTCCTGCGGGGACCCCGACAAGCCCGACGTCACCAAGAGCCTGGACGATGTGAGTCCCAGCGGGGGTGGGTCCGGCAGGGGAGGGGGCTGCAGGGGGGATGTCCCCAGGGCTGGACCCTGGAGCGGGGGGACAGGCGTCCCCCGCAGCCGGGTGTCGCGGGGCTGGGCCGGATGGAGCGTGGCTGTCCCGGGCCAGTGTCCCCGCACAAGGGACCGTGCGGCTGCCAAGCCTCGCACCCCTGCCCGCCATCCCCCCCACCCCGTGGCGGTGCCGCTGGTGCCCCCACCCCGACCCCCCCCACCCCGTGGCGGTGCCGCTGGTGCCCCCACCCTGACCCCCCCCACCCCGTGGCGGTGCCGCTGGTGCCCCCACCCCGACCCCCCCCACCCCGTGGCGGTGCCGCTGACCCCCCCCCACCCCGACCCCCCCCACCCCGTGGCGGTGCTGCTGACCCCCCCCCACCCCGTGGCGGTGCCGCTGGTGCCCCCACCCCGACCCCCCCCACCCCGTGGCGGTGCCGCTGGTGCCCCCACCCCGACCCCCCCCACCCCGTGGCGGTGCTGCTGACCCCCCCCACCCCTATCCCCCCCACCCTGTGGCGGTGCTGCTGATGCCCCCACCCTGATCCCCCCCACCCTGACCCTGTCATGGTGCCTCTGACCTCCCCACCCCGACCCCCCCCACCCCGTGGCGGTGCCGCTGACCCCCCCCACCCCGACCCCCTCCACCCCGTGGCGGTGCCGCTGACCCCCCCTCCACCCCGTGGCGGTGCCGCTGACCCCCCCCCCACCCCGTGGCGGTGCCGCTGACCCTCGCGCCCTGCCGCAGCTCTACTCCTCCTGGCACAGCCTGAACAAGGTGTGGACGGAGCGGTACGCCCGCCTCGAGGAGCAGCTCCAGGCCGCCGTCAGCTACCAGGAGACCATGCAGGTGGGGTGCGGGGGTCTGCTCAGCCAGACACCCCACGCGCGGGCGCCGCGTGGGGCCACCGTGGTGGTCCGGGCAGGGGGGGCTGTGCGGGGGGGCAGGACCGTCGGGGTGCCGTGATGCTGCCCTGAGTGGGCGCTGGGGCCACGGGGCCGGCCGTGCCCGTGTCCTGGCCCGCTGTGACACGCTCGGAGCTCTCCGTGGGGCTGGGGCACCCTCCCGCCCTGTTCTGCGTCCCCCTCCCGGGGACCACGGCGGGTCCCAGCCCCCACTCCTGGCCGTGGGGCTGCAGAGCGTGGGGGGGGGGGAGCGTGCCCCTGCCCCCAGGGACGCAGCCGAGCTGGCAGGGCTGACATGTCCAGCATACGGGGATGGGGACAGGGTGGGGGGCCTGGCCCCCCCCAGCCCCGCTCCGGCCCCACAGTCCCGCTCCATCCCCAGCGGCTGCTGGAGTGGCTGGATGCGGCCGAGCTGCGCCTCGCCGAGGAGTTCCTGGTCGGCGGGGACCTGGACATGGTGCAGCAGCAGCTGGCGGAGCTGAAGGTGGGTGAGCGGCGGCGCAGGATGGGGCCCCGAGCCCTGGGGCCGGGCTGGGGGGGCGGCGGTGGGTGCGTGCGGCGCGGCGCAGGGTGCTGGTGCCCCCGTGGCACCCGCTGGTGGTGGGCGCAGGGTGGCCGAGCCCTGCCCGGAGTGGCCAAATCCTGCGCCCCGAGGTGCCCCGAGCGGGCAGGGCTCCCCAGTTCCCACGAGGAGGAGCTCTGGGCTCAGGTGCCCGTGCCATGCTGTGCCAAGCCGTGCCATGCTGGGCTGTGCCGTGCCAAACCATGCAGCGTGTGCCAGACCCAGCTCTGCCGCGCCGTGCCATGCTGTGCCACGCCATGCCATGCTGTGCCATGCCATGCTGTGCCATGCCATGCTGTGCCATGCCATGCTGTGCCATGCCATGCCCTGCCATGGCATGCTAAACCAGACACAGCTCTGCTGTGCTGTGCTATGCTAAACCAGACCCAGCTCTGCCATGCCATGCCATGCCATGATGTGCTAAACCAGACCCAGCCCTGCCATGCCATGCCGTGCCATGCCATACTGTGCTAAACCAGACCCAACTCTGCCATACCATGCCATGCCATGCTGTGCTAAACCAGACCCAGCTCTGCCATGCCGTGCCATGCCATACTGTGCTAAACCGGACCCAGCCCTGCCATGCCATGCCGTGCCATGCCATACTGTGCTAAACCAGACCCAACTCTGCCATACCATGCCATGCCATGCTGTGCTAAACCAGACCCAGCTCTGCCATGCCCTGCCATGCCATGCCATGCCATGCCATGCTGTGCTAAACCAGACCCAGCCCTGCCGTGCCATACCATGCCGTGCCATGCTGTGCTAAACCAGACCCAGCTCTGCCATGCCATGCCATGCCATGCTGTGCTAAACCAGACCCAGCCCTGCCATGCCAATGCCATGCCATGCCATGCTGTGCTAAACCAGACCCAGCCCTGCCGTGCCGTGCCATGCCATGCCATGCTGTGCTAAACCAGACCCAGCCCTGCCATGCCATGCCGTGCCATGCCATACTGTGCTAAACCAGACCCAACTCTGCCATACCATGCCGTGCCATGCTGTGCTAAACCAGACCCAGCTCTGCCATGCCATGCCATGCCATGCTGTGCTAAACCAGACCCAGCCCTGCCGTGCCGTGCCATGCCATGCCATGCTGTGCTAAACCAGACCCAGCCCTGCCATGCCATGCCGTGCCATGCCATACTGTGCTAAACCAGACCCAACTCTGCCATACCATGCCGTGCCATGCTGTGCTAAACCAGACCCAGCTCTGCCATGCCATGCCATGCCATGCTGTGCTAAACCAGACCCAGCTCTGCCATGCCCTGCCATGCCATGCCATGCCATGCCATGCTGTGCTAAACCAGACCCAGCCCTGCCGTGCCATACCATGCCGTGCCATGCTGTGCTAAACCAGACCCAGCTCTGCCATGCCATGCCATGCCATGCTGTGCTAAACCAGACCCAGCCCTGCCATGCCAATGCCATGCCATGCCATGCTGTGCTAAACCAGACCCAGCCCTGCCGTGCCATGCCGTGCCATGCTGTGCTAAACCAGACCCAGCTCTGCCATGCCATGCCATGCCATGCTGTGCTAAACCAGACCCAGCTCTGCCATGCCATGCCATGCCATGCTGTGCTAAACCAGACCCAGCTCTGCCATGCCCTGCCATGCCATGCCATGCCATGCCATGCTGTGCTAAACCAGACCCAGCCCTGCCGTGCCATGCCATGCCATGCCATGCTGTGCTAAACCAGACCCAGCCCTGCCGTGCCATGCCATGCCATGCCATGCCATGCTGTGCTAAACCAGACCCATCCCTGCCGTGCCGTGCCATGCCTGGTGGCCCGGCAGACCCCTGTCACCATGTTTGGGGCGGGGGGGGGTCACCACTCGCCGCTGCCCCGCAGGAGTTCAAGAGGGAGCTCTACCAGTGCAAGGTGGAGGTGGAGAGCCTGCGGCACCAGGCCAGCCTCGGGGGCGCGGGGCTGGGGGACCCCCCAGCCCCCCTCAGCGACTTCCGCCAGCGCTGGGACCGGCTGGAGGAGGAGATCGTCAGCCGCCAGGTAGGCAGGCGCCGGGCTGGGGGGCTCGGGGTGGGGGGCACCTGAGCTGTCAGCTGGGTCTGCTGCCGGCACAGGGCGAGAGCCACGGCGGGGGGGGCCGGGGGGCTGGGTGGGTGCTGTGCAGGCGCTGGGTGGGTGGAGCTGGGTGGGTGCGTGGGGTGCTGGGTGCATGGGGCTGTGGGTGCGTGGGGTGCTGGGTGGGTGGAGCTGGGCGGTGCGTGGGGTGCCACATGGGTGCTGGGTGCGTGGGGTGCTCTGTGGGTGTGTGGGGTGCTGGGTGGGTGCTGGGTGTGTGGGGTGCCACATGGGTGCTGGGTGCGTGGGGTGCCACATGGGTGCTGGGTGCATGGGGTGCTATGTGGGTGTGTGGGGTGCTGGGTGGGTGCTGGGTGCGTGGGGTGCCACATGGGTGCTGGGTGCGTGGGGTGCTCTGTGGGTGCGTGGGGTGCTGGGTGGGTGCTGGGTGCGTGGGGTGCCACATGGGTGCTGGGTGTGGTGGGCCGTGGGTGCGTGGGGTGCTGGGTGGGTGCTGGGTGCGTGGAGCTGGGTGGGTGTGTGGGGCCGTGCAAGCATTGGGTGCACGGTGGGTGCCTGGTGCCGCGCGGGCGCTGGGTGCGTGGTGGTGGGGTGCCATTGCTCCCGCCCCACGGGTGCCCGATCCTGCCCTCGCCGGGGCAGCACCAGCTGGAGGCAGCTCTGCTGGGCCTGGGCCAGTTCCAGCACCAGCTGGAGGAGCTGCTGCAGTGGCTGGCGCGCACGGCCGAGCAGCTGCGGGGGCCCCCGCCGCTGCGCCCCGACCTGCAGAGCTGCGAGATCGAGCTGGCCAAGCACAAGGTGAGGGCTGCTGCCCCGCTGCTGCCCCACTGCTGCCCCACTGCTGCGGCGGATGTCCCCCTCGGCGGGGAGCACGGGACGTGGCACAGCCCTGCCTGGTCCCGGTCGTGGCTCTGGTGCTGTGGGGCCGCATCCTGACCGCAGGGGGCTGCCCGGCCCCCTCCTCCCGGGGCAGCGGCAGCTGGATCGGGCAGGCTGCGGCTTGGGGCGGGCGGCGTGAGAACGCGTCCCCTCCCGCGGTGACAGCATGGAAGGAATGAGCTGTCTCCGTGCCTCGCCGGGAGGGAGCCGAGGCCGCCAGCGGTGCAGAGCCGCTTCCCCTTGCCTGGGCACGCTCGCGCCGTGGCTGACGCAGGCGAGGTGCTGTGGGGTGGGGAGGGGGACCTTGGCCTCTTCTCTACCCTGTCCCGGCAGTCTCCCTGCCACGAAGCGGCAAATTTGGTGCTCGGGACCTACCCCGTGCCGGCTCTGGGGCATCCCCGGGCGCCACGTCGGCAGCGAGGGGCTTCACAGGGTGCAGCTGGCCGGGGATGTGGGTGCTGGCCGGGGATGTGGGAGCTGGCCGGGGATGTGGGTGCTGGCCGGGGATGTGGGAGCTGGCCGGGGATGTGGGTGCTGCCCAGGGATGTGGGTGCTGGCCGGGGATGTGGGTGCTGGCCGGGGATGTGGGTGCTGGCCGTGACCGCTGGCCCCGTCCCCAGGTGCTGAGGAACGACGTGATGTCCCACGCGCGCACGGTGCGGTCGGTCAGCGAGGCCGGGCAGGGTTTGCTGCTCTCCAGCCTGGGCGAGAGCATGGAGGGGCTCCAGCGCAGCCTGCACCAGCTCAGCCAGCGCTGGGAACTGGTGCAGAGCGAGACCGAGAGCCGGCAGCTGGAGCTGGAGAACAACCTCAGCCAGGTACGGGGGGGCACCGCGTGCCGGGGGGCTGCCGGCTGGCAGGGGCAGCGCTGACCCCCCCCCGGACCCCCCCCAGGTGCAGGACATCACGCTGGAGATCACCGAGCTGCTGCAGTGGCTGGAGCAGGTGGAGCTGCAGCTCTTCTTCTCCAAGCCGGCGTGGGGCCACCCGGACACCACCAAAGAGAAGCTCACGGCTCACCTGGTGAGCGCTGGGGCTGTCCCTCAGTGTCCCGTGGGGGGGTGTACGCGTGCCCCAAAGCCACCCCTCTGTGTGCCGAGGGGCCAGGACCCTTCTCTGCCGTCTCCTCCCGCACCCCTTCCTCGGGGCGGAGCGGGAGCCGCCCCCGTCCCCCGGCGGGACGGTGACCCCGGGGGTCCCCGCGGCCTCTCGGCAGGAGCTGTGCAAGGAGATGGAGTCCAAGCAGGAGGCGTACAGCGGCGTGCGGGAGCGGCTGCAGCGGCTGCTGGCCTCCTGCCGCGCCAGGCGGCCCTGCAGCACCGAGCACAGCCTCCGCATCCTGGAGCAGAAGTGGGAGAGCGTCCACGCCGAGGCCCAGGAGAGGAAGGTGCGTGGGGCTGGGGGGCTCGCTGTCCGTCCGGGGGTGCCGGCCCTGCCCCGGCCCCGGGGGCTGCGGGTGCCCGTCCCCATCAGCGCCTCCCCCCTACCCTAAACCCGCAGGAGCGCCTGGCCGAGGGGCTGACGGTCAGCACCGAGTTCCACGGCACCGTGCAGGAGCTGCTGCACTGGGTGGCTCATGCAGAGGAGCTCCTCGGCTCCCCCCCGCCGCCCAGCTTCGTCCTGGGCACCGTCACCGCGCAGATCCAGGAGCACAAGGCAAGGGCGGGCTGAGCCGGCGCGACACCCCCCGCGAAACCGGGGCTGATTCCACAGGGCTGGGGTCTGCCCGGAGGGGTCCCTTCCAGCAGCGGCAAGGAAAATCAGTCCCCCCCGGGCTGCCGGCGGGACGCGTCTCCCCGCAGCAGCGGAGCGAGTCGGCTCGGCTCCCCGTCCCCGCGCGGGCTGCGCTCGGAGGCCCCGCTCCTGCCGCGGGGCTGTCCACGCACCCCCAGCCGCCTCGGCTCTCCTGCAGGCGCTGGTGAAGGAGGCGAATGCCCACGGCGAGCAGCTCAGCGGCTTGGAGGCAGTTGCGTCCCGCCTGAAGGACTTCAGCAGGAAGCAGGACGGGGCCGTCATCCAGAACCTGGTGCTGACGGCGCGGGAGCGGCTGGGCAAGGTGCTGCAGCGGGCGTCGGAGCGAGGGGCAGCGCTGGAGGAGGCCCGCAAGCGCACCAAGCAGGTACTTACCCACGGCGCCGGGGGATGCGGGTCCTGCAGTGGGTCTGGGGGACGCGGGGGGCAACGCGGCTCCGGCGCAGGGACCGTGCCGCGCTGGCCCAGGGTTTGCGCCGCGGTGGCACACGGAGCACGCGGCTCTGTCGCATGGGTGCTGTGGCTCGTCGTCCGGGTCGCCCTGGCCCCTGCAAACAGGACCCCCCCCACACCCCGTACCCCCCCCGCCCCGTACCCCTCCCCTCCGTTTCAGTTCAGCGAGTCCCGGCGGCTGCTCCTGGACTGGATGGACGAGGTGGAGCAGAGCCTGGAGGTGCCGCAGGACACTGCCACGAGCCAGGAGGAGATCAAGTGCCAGCTGGCTGAGCACAAGGTGGGGGGGCTGCCCCGCTCCCCGGCCCTGTAGAGAGGGGGGGTCCCGCTGGGGGCAGCTGCCTGGCTGTGGGGAGCAGAACTGGGGGGCTGTGGGGCGGCAGGGGAGGGGGGTCCCAACATGGGTGCCAGGGCGGTCGGACACCGTCCCAGGGCCACCTCTGCAAAGTGGGGGGAGCCCCCGGCCGAGGGGCATTGGCACCCCAAGCCGCCGCGTGGTCCTCGGAGAGGGGGGGCAGGAGTCTCCCCTCCCTGGGTCCAGCACCCACATCCCGGGGGTCCCGGTGGGCTCGCCCCCTCTGCCCGCAGGCTTTCCAGAAGGTGCTGCGCTCGAAGCGGCCGGTGTACGAGGCCACGCTGCGGAGCGGGCGGGCGCTGCGGGAGAGAGCGCGGCTCCCCGAGGACCTGCAGCCGCTGGAGGAGCTGCTGGGGGAGCTGAAGGAGCGCTGGGACGCGCTGTGCAGCCGGGCCGTGGAGAGGTGGGGCGGGGGGGGGTGGGAATGGGACGGGGACGGGGATGGGGGTGGGATGGGATGGGGATGGGGATGGGATGGGATGGGATGGGGATGGGGATGGGATGGGGACGGGATGGGGACGGGATGGAGATGGGGACGGGATGGGGATGGGGATGGGGATGGGGATGGGATGGGGACAGGGGAAGGGACGCAGATGGGATGGGATGGGATGGGGATCGGGATGGGGATGGGGGTGGGATGGGATGGGGATGGGATGGGGGTGGGATGGGGATGGGGGTGGGATGGGGGTGGGATGGGATGGGGATGGGGATGGGGACGGGATGGGATGGGGACGGGATGGGGACGGGATGGGGATGGGATGGGGATGGGGATGGGGATGGGGATGGGATGGGGGTGGGATGGGATGGGATGGGATGGGGATGGGATGGGGATGGGGATGGGGATGGGATGGGGATGGGATGGGGACAGGGGAAGGGACGCAGATGGGATGGGATGGGATGGGGATCGGGATGGGGATGGGGACGGGATGGGATGGGGACGGGGGTGGGGATGGGGATGGGATGGGGATGGGATGGGGATGGGATGGGATGGGATGGGATGGGATGGGGATGGGATGGGGATGGGGATGGGGATGGGATGGGGATGGGATGGGGACAGGGGAAGGGACGCAGATGGGATGGGATGGGATGGGGATCGGGATGGGGATGGGGACGGGATGGGATGGGGATGGGGATGGGGATTGGATGGGGTGGGATGGGGATGGGATGGGGATGGGGTGGGATGGGGATGGGGTGGGATGGGGATGGGATGGGGATGGGGATTGGATGGGGTGGGATGGGGATGGGATGGGGATGGGGATTGGATGGGGTGGGATGGGGATGGGATGGGGATGGGGATGGGATGGGGATGGGGATTGGATGGGGTGGGATGGGGATGGGATGGGGATGGGATGGGATGGGGATGGGATGGGGATGGGGTGGGATGGGGATGGGGTGGGATGGGGATGGGGATTGGATGGGGTGGGATGGGGATGGGATGGGGATGGGGATGGGATGGGGATGGGGATGGGATGGGGATGGGATGGGGATGGGATGGGATGGGGATGAGGACGGGGATGAGGACAGGGTGCCTATGCTCTGCCTGCCATGTGGGGGGCATGGCATTGCCCATCCCCCCTGGGCATCCCGCTCCCTTTCTTGGGACCTCCCTGCCCCAGCTCTGCTGCGCTCTGGCCCGCGGGGTGGCCGTTCCCCGGGTCCTGGGCACCGCTGGCATTGCCCGCGCCCTTCCTTGCAGGCAGCACAAGCTGGAGGAGAACCTGCTCTTCTCGGGCAAGTTCACGGACGCGCTGCAGGCCCTCATGGACTGGCTGTACCGGGCTGAGCCGCAGCTCAGCGAGGACGTGCCTGTCGGAGGGGACCGGGACCTGGTCAGTGACCTCATGGACAAGCACAAGGTGGATGTCCCCAGCCAGGCGGGGAGCCCCGGGCTCTGCACCGGGCTCCGCACCAGCCCTGCCCACCCCCATCCCGGGGCAGGATGGCAGCCTGCGCTCCCAGTCCGTGGGGCAGTGCTGGGGTGCCCCGGGTACCCCACTGCATGGGAGCCCTGCACAGTAGCAGGGGCCAGGCAGGGTGCTGGGACCCCCCCCCGGCATCTTCTACCCCCTCCTGCCCAGGTCTTCCAGAAGGAGCTGGGCAAGCGAGCCAGCTGCATCAAGATGCTGAAGCGCTCGGTGCGGGACCTGACCCGCGGCAGCAGCAGCGTCGATTCCCAGTGGCTGCAGAAGCAGATGGAGGAGCTGAGCACCCGCTGGGACCTGGTCTGCAAGCTCTCTGTCTCCAAGCAGGCCCGGCTGGAGGCTGCGCTCCGGCAGGTGAGAGCCCGGGGGGGCAGCGGCCACCCCAGGGCCCCCCCGGCCAAAAGGTCGAGGTCTGCAGCCGGTGCGGCCTCGTGGGAAAGTTCTGCAGGCGGCTGTGGGCGTGTGGGGTGCCCGGGTGGTGGGTGGCCGCATTGTGGGGTGCTGCGTGGGGTGGGTGGCCACATTGTGGGGTGCCCGGGTGGTGGGTGGCCGCATTGTGGGGTGCTGCGTGGGGTGCCTGGGAGGTGGGTGGCCACACTGCAGGGTGCTGCGTGGGGCTGTGGGGCTCTGTGTGGGGCTGTGTCGCAAGGTGCCGTGGCCAGGAGCCAGGCTGGGTGCTGTGGGTGCCTGTCGTAGGTTTGCCCACGCGCAGGGTGCTCGGGGCGGGACGGCTGTGTGTTTTAGGGTGCCCTGCTTGATGTGGAGGTACTGATGGGGGGGGGTCAGGTCCTGGGAGCCAGGCTGGGGTGAAAAGCATCCTCTGTCCTGCCGTGGGGTTTGAGCTGGGCTGGGCTGGCAGCAGCTCTCAGGGGCCTGGAGCCCCACAGCGAGGTGCCTGCGCCAGGTGCTGGGCTGGCCCCGGGCAGGAGAGGTGGCCGCAGGGCTCAGGGTCTGCCCAGGGGGGCTGGGGGGCCGGGACCTGGGGCTGTGGCCGCAAGGTGGGTGCTGAGCAGGTCCCCGGCTGTCCGCGGCAGGCAGAGGAGTTTCACTCCCTGGTGCATTCCTTCCTGGGTCGCCTCTCCGAGTCGGAGAAAACCCTCAAGTACGGCGTCTTCCCCGAGGAGGAGCTGGCCGTGCAGGAGTGCCAGAACCAGCTGCAGGTTGGTGCCAGCCCCCGCCAGCCCCCGCCAGCCCCCACCTCCCTCCGTCCTCGCCCCGGGACGTCCCGCTCCTGGGGTCAGCCGGCCCCTGCCAGGGCGTGGGGCGCGCCACACCGAGACGTGGGATGTTGGGTCCCGTCACACCAAGACACAGGGTTTGGGGCCCCAGGCACCCTGCGGTGTGGAGATTTAGGGTCCCAAGCACCCCATGCAAAGGTGGCCGTGCTCATGCCACCCAGTGTCTTCCCCCCCCCGGCTGGGTGGAGCCTGGCCCCTGCGGTGCTGGGGGTGCGGGGGGCTGAGACGCGGCGGTTCCAGGGTCTGTGCCCTCCCCCAGGAGCTGATGAAGTCCCTGCAGTGCCAGCAGCTGGAGCTGGAGTGCATCACCTCGCTGGGGGAGGAGATCCTCTCCACTTGCCACCCGGACTCCGTCATCACCGTCAAGTCCTGGGTCACCGTTGCCAAGAGCCGCTTCCAGGAGGTGAGCTGGGCACCCCTTCTCCACCCCCCCCGGGTGGGGGGCAGACCCACACTCACACCCGGGACGAGCGTGGCCCCACGCCGTTCCCACCGCTGGTGCCGCTTTGCTGACCAGCGCCCTGCGGGGACCTGGGGGTGCTCGGCCTCGGCTGACACGGGCAGTTTTGGTCTTGCTCAGCTCCTGCGCAGACCCGGCCCCGCCGTGATCGGCCGGGACACGTCACCCCAACCATCCCCTTGCTCCCACCCTGGGCCCCCGCAGTGGTGGTGGCTCTTTCCCGTGCCACGGCAGATGCCAGGCGGCGAGTCCCTGGGGAGCAGTGTCCCCGGGATCCCCATGCTGGACCCCGCTCCCGCAGCGGCTCGGAGCCTCCCTGGCGCTGTGGGTTTGCCGGCGAGAGCCTGAACGGGTCTGACGGGTTCGGCCGATCCCTCGCCCGCACCAAGCCCGTGGGGAGCGGAGATCCTCGCTATCAGATCTGCCTGCCCCAGATAGCGAGGATGCGGCACGGCAGACCCAGCTGCCGGCACGTTTGGCTGCGGCCCATGAGGACCGGCAGTGCCTGGGTCCTGCCCCACGGCCACGGGTGGGCCGTGGAGCCCCCCCCCTCCCTGCCCCGTCCTGCCGGCTGGGGGTCCGCACCCGCCCCACGGCAGCGGTGGGCTGTGGCTCCCCGCACAGATCCTCGCCCCCCCGCCGAAGCACCGGCCCTGCGGTTCCCCGTGGGGCCGCAGACCCGGGGGTCCGCAGCGAGCCCCCCGCCGCCGTGCCCAGCTCCCCGGGCCGTGCCCGCAGGTGCTGAGCTGGGCCCAGCAGCAGGGCGAGCGGCTGCAGGCGCAGGCGGCCAGCCTCGCGGCCGAGCGGGAGGAGACGGCCCAGCTCATCGACTGGATCACGGCCGCCGAGGAGGCTCTGGGCTTGCGGGACCAGGAGCCGCTGCCGGAGGAGGCCGAGCAGCTGGAGGAGCTCAATGCCCAGCACACAGTAAGGGACTCTGCACCCCGCTCCTCCCGTCGCCGGGGGCCGCACGCTGCCCCCCCCCCCAGCATCAGCCCTCCCAGCCCAGGGATTCGGGGTGCCCCATGCCGAGGGTGCAGCTCGTGCGCGCAGCGGCGACGCAGCAGCACCGTTCGCGCACAGCAGCAGCCGCAGCCCGAGCCCTCCGGGTCTGCAGCCAGCACTGAGGAAGCAGGAGGGTCCCGGGGAAGTGGAGGGGGGGGCAGCAGGGCTGGCCTGGGGGGTGGCCACGCTGCCGGCCGTGCGCGGGGGCCACACACTCAGCCCCGGCGCTCCGCGGTAGGTGTTCATGGAGGAGCTGAACCGCAAGCAGCCCGACGTGGAGAAGGTCACCAAGAGCTGCAAGCGGAAGCTGGGCGCCGAGCTGGGCCCGCCGCCCGCCCGCCGGCTGGCCACACGTAAGGGCCCCCGCCGCCCCCCACCCCGCGCCGCCCCCCGGGACCCCCGGCGGTGCCCTCAGTGCCCCTCTCCGCCGGCTGCAGGGCACCGCGGCACGGGGAAGGCGCAGGGCACGCCGGCGGTGCCGCTCGGGGGGCTGGAGCCCCAGACCCCGCTCATGGCCCAGCTCCTGCACCGCTGGCAGCAGCTCTGGCTTCTGGCCCTGGACCGGCAGTACCGGCTGGAGACGGCCCTGCAGCGCCTGCGAGAGGTGGGGGCGGCCCCGGGGTCGGCCTTTCGCCGGCGGGACCCCCTGGCCCTGGGTGGGATGCGCGTGGGGACGGTCCCCGGGGTCAGCGGGATGGAGCAGGCAGCGCCCAGGAGCCTTCCCAGACCCCCATCCCCACGCATCTCTGCGGGCAGGGGCGGCTGCCGGAGCCAGCGGGCCCCCCCCTTGCAACCCGGAGCCGGGGTTCCCAGGCAGAGACCCCCTTTGCCAGGCTCAGCGGGGTGGGGGCGGGGGGCGAGCTGGCTTCACGGCAGCCGGGCTGAGCCTGAGTGCAGGTCCTGCGTGGGGCAAAGCGCGGTCACCCAGGCAGGTGTGACAGTGGGGGGGCTCGTGGGGGGCTTTCCTGCGGCGCGTTAATCCCCGTCTGTGCCTCTCCGAGCTGGAGGAGTTCGCTCACTTCGACTTCGGGGTCTGGAGGAAGCGTTACATGCAGTGGATCAGCCAGATGAAGTCCCGGGTCCTGGACGTTTTCCGAGGCATCGACAGGGACCAGGACGGGCGCATCAGCCAGCGGGAGTTCATCGAGAGCGTCCTCTCCTCCAGTGAGTGCCCCCAGGGAGGGGCTGGGGCGGGGGCACCCCTCAGGGCTCCCCCCGCGCCCTGAGAGCCTGGGAAGGGGCACGTTGGGGAGAGGTGGGACAGGGTCTGCCAGCCGGGACCCCCCTCGGCGCCGGCACTGGCTGGCCTTGGCGCAGGGGTGCGCAGGGCAGGGCGGGCTGAGGGTCCCCCCCCTTCCCATCCCCAGAGTTCCCCACCAACGTCTTGGAGATGAACGCCGTGGCCAGCATCTTCGACATGAACGGCGACGGCTTCATCGACTACTACGAGTTCGTCAGCGCCCTGCACCCCAACCGCGACCCCCTGCGCCGCACCGCCGACGCCGACCAGATCCAGGACGAGGTACGGCGAGGCGGGGGGGCTGCGGCAGCAGCTGGGGCTGGGGGTCCCGCCGTGGGTCTGAGCCGAGCGTGCCGTCCCCAGGTGAACAGGCAAGTGGCCCAGTGCAACTGTGCCAAGCGCTTCCAGGTGGAGCAGATCAGCGCCAACAGGTACCGGGTAAGTGCTGACCCGCGCCGCCCGCTCCCGCTCTGCTGCCGTGGCCCCCCGGCCCTGGGCTGGCTCCTGCACCCACGCAGAGGTCCTGTGGCTCCCTGCCCCGGACCCTGTGCAGCGGCAGGGACAGGGGACGTCCCCGTGTCCCGTGGGATCGCCGGCACCGGGCGCTGTGTGCTGTGGCACAGCGGGGAGGACAGTGCTGGCGGGGCCGGAGGGGCTGCGGGGGACCTGAGGGCCCGGTGATGGGCAGGTCTGGGTGCTGGTGGCTCCCAGCCCTGCCGAACCCCCTCACCTTGCCCTGACGTCTCTCCCCGCCTCCCCTCCCCAGTTTGGGGAGTCCCAGCAGCTGCGGATGGTGCGGATCCTGCGCAGCACCCTGATGGTGCGGGTCGGCGGGGGCTGGATCGCGCTGGACGAGTTCCTGGTGAAGAACGACCCCTGCAGAGGTGGGCGCGGGCGTCCCACCTTGGGCGCGGGGCACGGGGCACCCACGGCTCCGTGGCCGAGAGGACCCGCGGTGGGAGCCCGAGGCCAGGGGAGCCCTGGCCGTGGTGTGGTGGGCGTCCCTGTGCCCTGGCCGTGGGACCCCCAGCGCCAGCCCCACTCACCGCCCCTGTCCTCCCCAGTGAAGGGAAGGACCAACCTGAAGATCAACGAGAAGTACCTGTCCCCAGACGCCTTCGGGGCCACCGCGGCCAAATGTGCGGGGAACCAGTCAGCCCCCTCCTCCAAAGTGCTGTCCCCCAGCCGCTCCAACTCCAGCCTCAGCCTCTACAGCAGCGCCTCGGCCCCCAGCAGTCCCCTGGCCAGGAAGGTAAAGGCTGGGGAGCCCCCCCAGGAGTCCCGACACACCCCCAGCCCCACCGCCGCGGGTGCTGACCCTCTCCCCCGCCAGTCGGTGCTGCGGAGGACGCGCTCCGGTGACCGGTGCCCCCGCTCCCGCGGCTCCTTGCTGCCCGACGGAGCCGAGCTGCAGTTCACCGCGGCCGAGGAGAGCCTGGCCGTGGCACCCCCAGGTAAGAGCCGTGCTGCTGCGGCCCGCACCCCGTGGGGCTGGGGGGGCTGGGGGGGTCCAGCGGGGCTGGGGAAGCACAGGGGAGCTGGGCTCAGTGGGGCGGTGTGGGGCAGGGCAGTGGGGCTGCCCCCCCGGTGCAGGAGAAGCTCCAGCCCCTCCACACCCTTGCAGAGCCGCCTGAAGGGTCCCCCCCGGAACGCTGCAGCCCCTGCCGCTGAGCCCCCCCAGCCACCCGCCCTGCGCCCAGCACCCTCGGCCGGCCCCACTCAGGACTCTCCTCCCCACGGCTGGAGGATGGCGAAGCCGTGGCCCTGCGCCCCACGGGTCTCTGGCCCGGCGCTGCGGCCCCCCCCCCCCCCCCCCCCCAACTCCCCCACCCCGAGCGGGCGCCCGCCTGCGAGGGCTGAGCTGTCTGTCCGTCACCCACCCCGCTGGGCCCGGCCCCGGCGTATATGCAAGCACCCCCTGACACACACCAAACCGTGCCCCCTGGCTCTGCCTGGCACGGCCCCCCCACCCCACCGCTCCCCCCAGCAGTGCGTGGGGGGCCGAGCCCCCCTGCCCCGCTCCCAGTGCTCGGGGTGGCTGCAGGCTGCCGGGAGCATCCCGCAGCCGTGGGGTCAGCCAGGGCTGGGGCAGCCCTTCTCCCCCAGGCTCCTGGGGGGGGCTGCCGGCGCCCCCGGGGCATTTGGCAGTGCTGCTGGGGGTCCCCCCCCCACCCCTCCACCCCCCCTCGTGCCGGTGGGAGGTGGCCGGGCTCAGTACCCGGGCAGCGGGGCCCCTCGCGGGATGCAGAGCCCCGTTTCTGGTGCTAACCCTCACCCCTTGGGCCTTCGGTGTGTGCGAAAGGGGCCCCGGCTCCAGCTGCCCCCCACTCCCCTCCCCCAGACCCCGGCAGGGCTGGGGCTGCCACGGGCGGGGGGGGTCCCTCACGCCTGTGCCCCCGTCCCACCCGCAGCACCCATGGGTGGTGGGACCCCTGCCCTGCCGACGCATGCTCACGTCACCCCGCTAACCGGACAGCAGTAGAGCTGAATGTAACCCTGGCCGGGCACGGCCCCGCCAGCCACAATAAAGAGTAGGTTTCTTTTTTTCTATGAGCACCCGGGGCTTGCTGCAGTCTGTCCGTCTGTCCGTTGGGGTGAGGGGCTGCGAAGCAGCATCGCCAAAGCGGGGGCACGCGGTGGCCGGGCAGGGCCGGGTGCGCCGGCAGCTGGGTGCCACCCAGCCGCGACGCCCGGCGCCGGCGAGCCCGGGGCGTTGCAGCCGATGCCAGCGGGCACCGCGCCGCGTTCCCTCCTTCCTGCGGAAAGAATTGCTGGGATGGGTGCTGCGCCCCGGGGCCGCGAGCCCGCTCCCGCGGCGGGCAGCACTGGGAGCTGCCGGGCCCCCGTCCCCCTGTGCTGGCTGCCCTTCTGCCTCCCCCCCAGCCCGCAGGGCACCCGGAGTGTCCCCGCGCTCCCCGGCCAGCCCGGTCCCCTGCGGCAGAGCACCTCCCGCGTTGGGACGGTCGGGATGGGGCACGCTGGTGGGACGGGGCGGCTGGAGACACGGGCTGCGTCCCCCCGACTCCGGAGGTGGGGACGCAGCCCCCCCCGGGCTCTGGTGCCTCCTCCCTTGTCCCGGTCCTGTTGGCCCGCCCCTGCCTTCATGGATTTCAGTCCCGTTTCCGCACTGTCCTCCCCCAAAACTGTCTCCACACCCTTTTTTTTTTTTCACTCTGAACAAACGCTCCTGCGTGGGACAGCAGCCAAGGGGGGCCAGGTCTGGAAACGCACCAGCGAGCCCCGGGCCGGGGCACGTCCCCCCCGTCCGCGCACCGAGGAGCCCCGCAAACACCCCACACGTGGGTCAGGGCACGTCGCTGCAGCCCCCCGAGAGCAGGGCCCCGGCCCCACGGCTCCCCACGGAGCAGAGCATCCCCCACCACGTCCCCGGTGCTGGCACAGCGCTGCCGGCGCGGGCTGGGGCCGCCGGCACGAGTTGCGTTGCACATTCCTCCGCCTGTGGAGATGTCATCCGCACCTCGCAGCTGGGGCCACACGGCCGGCACCACCGGCAGCACCGGCCTGCGGCAGCCGCAGCCAGCGCCCCGGGCACCGGCTCCGGCGCGGGGTGGCCGGGGTGCACCCAAAACGTTTGCGCAGCCACACGGGCCCCGGCGACGCGGCGTCCCCCGGGGCTGGAGCCGGGGCTGGGGGTGACGCGATGGACGGAGCCGCAGAGCAGGTGGCTGGGGACGCGGCGCCCAAGTGAGACGGCACCATCCCCGGGGAGACGTGGGGCAGAGAGGTGGGGCGCTGCGGGAGAGCCCCCACGGCTCGCAGCCGGGGCTGGCGGGGGAGCCCCCCGCAAGCAGGGTGCTTTGCTGCGCGAGCAGCCGCCGGGGCGTGAGCAGCTCGGTCCCCAGTGGCCACCACCACGGCCGGGCTGGCCGGCTCTCCGATGTGTGTCCCTCCCGGCCCCCCTCCCGGGGCGGAGCAGGCTGTGAACCCCGAGGGTCCCACCCCCCAGCCCTGGGGTACAGCCCCAGCTCCCCCTGCCCCGCTCCCAGCACCGTGTCCCCCGGCTGCTCTGGCTCCCACCTGCACGCGCGGGGCTCTCCTGCCCCCAGTTTGCACCCACACCCCCCGCGGAGCCCTTGCGCGGTGCCCGGGGTACGGGGCTGCCGGGCAAGGGGCGAGAGCCCAGAGCCCTCCGGGCCCCCCCGGCTCGCCCTGTGCAAAGCCCCCCCGGCCCAGGGCTGGGGCGCCCGCGGGGCCGGAGGTCGCGGCTGGCGGGGCTGCAGGGTTCCATGCTGGCCGGCTGGGGCTGGCACGCCTGCCCTGCGGATGGGCTGGGGCCAGCGCGTGCAGGAGCACACGCGCGAGTGCCGCTTGCACAGCAGATGCACACGTGTGGCAGATGCACGCTTGCATCGCAGAGGTATGCTTGCACGGCAGAGGCATGCTTGCACGGCAGATGCACACTTGCATGGCAGATGCACACTTGCATGGCGAATGCACGCTTGCACAGCAGATGCACGCTTGCACGGCAGATGCACACTTGCACGGCGGATGTACACTTGCACGGCAGATGCACGCTTGCACGGCAGATGTACACTTGCACGGCAGATGCACGCTTGCATGGCGGATGCACGCTTGCACGGCAGATGTACGCTTGCACGGCAGATGTACACTTGCACGGCAGATGCACACTTGCACGGCGGATGCACGCTTGCACGGCAGATGCACGCTTGCATGGCGGATGCACGCTTGCACGGCAGATGTACGCTTGCACGGCAGATGCACGCTTGCACGGCGGATGCACGCTTGCATGGCGGATGCACGCTTGCACGGTGGATGCACGCTTGCATGGCGGATGCACGCTTGCACGGTGGATGCACGCTTGCACGGTGGATGCACGCTTGCATGGCGGATGTACACTTGCACGGCAGATGCACACTTGCACGGCAGATGCACGCTTGCATGGCGGATGCACGCTTGCATGGCGGATGCACACTTGCACGGCAGATGCACGCTTGCACGGCAGATGCACACTTGCACGGCGGATGCACGCTTGCACGGCAGATGCACACTTGCACGGCAGATGCACGCTTGCACGGCAGATGCACACTTGCACGGCAGATGCACGCTTGCACGGCAGATGCACGCTTGCGTGGCAGATGCACGCTTGCGTGGCAGATGTACACCTGCACAGCAGATGCACGCTTGCGTGGCAGAGGCATGCTTGCATGGCAGATGCACACTTGCGTGGCAGATGCACACTTGCGTGGCAGATGCACACTTGCATGGCGAATGCACGCTTGCACAGCAGATGCACGCTTGCGTGGCAGATGCATGCTTGCACGGCAGATGCACACTTGCACGGCGGATGCACGCTTGCGTGGCAGATGCACGCTTGCGTGGCAGATGTACACCTGCACAGCAGATGCACACTTGCGTGGCAGAGGCATGCTTGCGTGGCAGATGCACGCTTGCACGGCGGATGCACGCTTGCACGGCGGATGCACGCTTGCACGGCAGATGCACGCTTGCACGGCGGATGCATGCTTGCACGGCAGATGCACGCTTGCACGGCGGATGCACACTTGCACGGCGGATGCACACTTGCACAGCAGATGCACACTTGCACAGGAGATGCACACTTGCACGGCGGATGCACGCTTGCACGGCGGATGCACGCTTGCACGGCAGATGCACGTTTGCACGGCAGATGCACGCTTGCACGGCAGATGTACACTTGCACGGCAGATGCACACTTGCACGGCGGATGCACGCTTGCACGGCAGATGCACACTTGCACGGCAGATGCACACTTGCATGGCGGATGCACGCTTGCACGGCAGATGCACACTTGCACGGCAGATGCACACTTGCACGGCGGATGCACGCTTGCACGGCAGATGCACACTTGCACGGCAGATGCACGCTTGCGTGGCAGATGTACACTTGCACGGCAGATGCACGCTTGCACGGCGGATGCACGCTTGCACGGCAGATGCACGCTTGCACGCCTGCGTTCGCCTGGGCGAGAGCATTTCCTGCTGGCATCTCCTGGGGCTGAGCTCGGCTCCCCGAGCCCCGGCTCGCTTCGGCCCAGCCCGTTGGGTCGGGGAGCAGCGACAACGCGTTCCCAAGCCGCCCCGTCCTCTTTGTGATGCTGCTGCCGCCCCGCTGGTGCCCCCCCCGAGCCCCCGCAGCCGTGGGGCTGTGGCCTTTGCTGCTGGCACGCGGGACAGACGGACATGGCGCAGGGGAGGACGCACAGCCTGGTGATGCCGGGCGGCCACCCACTCGCGTGGGGTTTCCCACGGTGGCAGCGACCCCGGCAACCCCCAAGCAGCCGCCGCGATGGCTGCGCCGTGGGGCTGCCCCCTTCCCCACGGCAAACGGCTCGGCGGCCGTGGCAGCCGTGGGGTCACCGTGGCTCCGGGCAGCCAGCAGCCTCCTCCACCCGCCCACGGGCAGGGGAGAGGTGCCCGGGCCGGGCTCCTCCTCGGCTTCCTGCATAGCTGAGGTGCTTTGGTGAAGCCGCGCTCGGCTCGTTCGAATGCATTATGCACGAATCGCAACCACAGATTACTGCTAATTACCGTAACCAGACCCTTTCCTCTGCCTTTGGGCGGCGTGCCCAGGAAAGCAAAACCAAAACAGCGTCGGCAGGCGTAGCATACAACAATGCAGCACAGCCCAGCACGGCCCAGCACAGCCCAGCACGGCCCAGCATGGCCCAGCATAGCCCAGCATGGCCCAGCACAGCCCAGCATAGCCCAGCATAGCCCAGCATGGCCCAGCATGGCCCAGCACGGCCCAGCATGGCCCAGCATAGCCCAGCACGGCCCAGCATGGCCCAGCATGGCCCAGCATAGCCCAGCATGGCCCAGCACAGCCCAGCACAGCCCAGCATGGCCCAGCATGGCCCAGCATGGCCCAGCATGGCCCAGCATAGCCCAGCACGGCCCAGCATGGCCCAGCATGGCCCAGCATAGCCCAGCATGGCCCAGCACAGCCCAGCACAGCCCAGCACAGCCCAGCACAGCTCAGCATGGCCCAGCACAGCCCAGCACAGCCCAGCACAGCCCAGCATAGCTCAGCATGGCCCAGCACAGCCCGGCATGGCCCAGCATGGCCCAGCATAGCCCAGCATAGCTCAGCATGGCCCAGCACAGCCCGGCATGGCCCAGCATGGCCCAGCACAGCCCAGCACGGCCCAGCACAGCCCAGCACAGCCCAGCACGGCCCAGCACAGCCCAGCACGGCCCAGCATGGCCCAGCACAGCCCAGCACGGCCCAGCACAGCTCAGCACAGTACCGGTTCCTGCGTGAGCAGCTGCGCTGCCTGGGGCAGGAGCCCAAGGTCCCCCTCCTGCCTGTCCCTGCAGCAAGGCAGGGACACGATGCCTTGTTGGCCACCCGTGCCAGGTCACTGTGCCCGGCCCCAGGTCCATCCCTGCTCCCAGCACGGGCTGGCAGGGCCCGGGGGGGCTGCAGAAGGGCACCCCCAGCCCAGACCCTGCTCCGGTGTGCTGGTGCTGAGTCCTCTGCGGCCGTGGCCAGCACTGCCCCGTTTGCTTTTGGATTAAGGCTCCTCCGCACCTCCT